ATTCAGTTGTATTCCTAAGCTTCTAGTTAACTATTAACTACTAAAATAAATCAAAAATTCAACAGCAAATTAAAGTTACATACCTGAACAAGTACTTGCTTGTGTATGCAATCCCTCCGCACCCTAGCAGCTCCCCATCTCTGTGATCTCCTCCTACCCCACTCTTTCGCTCGCTACCTCTGCTGACCTAACTCTGGCCTGCTGCACGCACACACACACACAAACCATCAGTCACTGAGCCTCAGTTACTAGTCTCTGGAACTCCCTCCCTCCAGCCCTGCTTCTCACTCCATCTTTATATTCCACCTAAAAATCTACTTCTTCGACTGCACCTACAGTCACCTAGCCCTTCCGCTTCCCTCTCGCTTGGCATCCGATCCCATCATTATGATGCACTCATAATGGGGTGTTATCCTACATGAAGGACATATATAGATGAAAGTTGTCGTTGTAATGTATTGAATATTTACAATAGAAAATAGCACAAAAACACACACACCAAGCGTGATTTTAACCATGTTAATATGAAATGCTTATTACTGAAACATTTAGATATACAACACTGACTACCAAGACCACAATGAGATTTACCGTGCAACTGCAGAATAAATTCCACAGATTTGGCCAGGCAGTATTGTGTTCATACTTCTGTTAAAGATTTTATAATAGCACCCGACACTCTTCCCTGTGTGAAGGGCACTAATACAGTATAAATACAAGTTGTTATAATAATCCTTGCATTTGATATAGTACCTCATCATGTCATTGAAACAAATCAAACCATTTCACAAAAATTACTGCAAAGTGTAGTTACCTACTGTGTATTCATAGACAAAAACAGCAGCCAATTTGCACACAGCAATGTCCCACAAACAGCTATGAAGTAAATGACCAAATTTATGTGGTGGCCAGTTGTCCCAGACACCAGGAAAAGCATCTTTCGCTTTTTGAAATATGCCTTTAACATCCACCTGAACAAGTAGCAGGACTTTGGTTTAATGTCTCATCTGAAGGACGGCACCTCAAACAATACAGTGCTCCCTTTGCACTGCATTGGAGTGTTAGCCTACCAGGAGCTCAAAGTCTCAGCGTAAGACTTAAACCCACAGCCTTCTGACTCAGAAACGAAAGGGCTACCAACTGAGCCGGGCTGACACAATTTGCCTTCCCCCTTAATAACAGACTGTACTCCAATGGCACTAACTTCCAAAGATCTGCAGTGATTTAGCCTCGTCCATCTATGGGTCACACGTGTCGGCCCTCAAAATACCTGGCAGGTTGCAGCTCCCCCTCACTCCTCCATGAGTTGACAGGTTAATTTTCTTCCCAGTTAACTTCTTCCTGCAAGTAACACTCATTTTTCAAGTCTCTCTCCTTGTCACCATGTTTAGATTTCCTAGCATTCCTCCCTCCTGCTGCTTTTCAATCTGCCTTCCCCCTTAATAACAGACTGTGCTCCAATATCCCTGACCTCCAATAATCTGCTGCACAATCGTATCAAATCGACAAACACCCGACCTGCATGCAACACACAATGCCACAAAAATATTTTCAAATCACAAGGAAAACCATCAAAGTGATCAGCTAAAAGAAAGCCAAATTACCACATGTGGCTTAAATAGAATTAGCTTCAGGGTAGTGATCAAATGCAGAAAATAAACCACAAACCATGGCCAAAAGCTCCCTTCTACCCATCAACTCAATAGTTTGCTTTCCATCAGTCACCACAACCCAACCTCAGTTTCTTCATTCCCCATATTGTTCACCAGAAAGGACATGCCATTAAAAGGACAGATAAGTTCACAGTAATACACTTGCAACATGTTACTCTGCAATTGTACATGTAAAAATGTCACTACTGTAAAGTGCGATATAACTGCAACATCTCTCTTCCCACACAACTCTGTTTAACATGAGGAGCTCCAGGATCAAGAGAGCCTTACATTAATGTACACTGCCCACAGTAGGTGAAGATGGTGAGACAATGTGGTCAACAAAGAGGAATCAACATGGACCCGAAATCTGGAAGATTAAAAATGTAGCATTTATTCTATTTTGTGTTTTGTTTCAGTTTGAAATTCAGGTTGTATGTTAATTTCTGCTGCTCGTTTGATTTCTATATTACTTTCTGTATTACGTTTGATAAGTGAAAGGTATAAAGTCGCTATTAATGATGTTGCTGAGAAGTTTTGAATTTATTTCTGTGATATGGTTATCTTTACTTGGCTAATACAAATGGGATTGTAGATTGGTGCTTTGCTAGGCAGAAGATTCTGGGCTTTGACTTGAGTATCTGTAGCCAGAATTTGCAAGACTTTCGTTGATGGGAGCCTTTACAGTTATATTTCTATATCTATATTATAGTAGTTTATTATGTAAGATTCGCTATATAACAGGTGTATTGATACATTTAGCAAATGTGCATGAGTAGGTTTTGTTTTACTCTTCAAACATCGAGTAATGATGTTTGAAGCATCTATTCAGGGTGGTCCAACTGGTTGCCAGCTGGTCAGATCCCCCCTCCCCATGCCATTTAATCTCGGCCACCCGCTCCCTCCATAACCCGTTAATGTTGTTATGTTGTTTCTGGAAGGGAAACGCAAAAATGCTGTGTATGTGGCCCATGAAGGCTTCATAAATAGGGCATCCAGCCCTCAGCAGCCGAAAGGTTGTACCGCCCTGATCCACATAATGATCAGTGCTCTTTCATGCGAATGACTTTTAGACTGGTAGAATCTGGAGATATATTTATGTGCGACAATATTTGATGCTAACCTCACCTGGTCACAATACTACTGATGAGAACATGATTACTTAGAACACCTCGCTGTGGAGTTAACAAAGGTAATGCTTAAAAAAAAAGACAACGGGAAATAAGCGTTCACACCAATATTTTTTTCAAGGTCATTCCAACCAACCAATTTCTGCACTGCACTGCACTGTACTGTCCAGGATATAGGAGAGATAATCCCAGCCAAGGATTTCGAAATCGTTATTAGGAAGCCCAACACAGGCTGTGTGATGTGTTGTTGTCCAATTGCTGTCAAGGGCTGAACCCTTGGCATTACTTTAAATATACAGAAGAACATCACCACGTCAACTAACAGCTCAACATGACAAGTCAGATGATACGACTTTATGGGCTCAATATTTAAACCAGCGATCAGAAACTTTGCAAAAATAAGAAACGTGCAGGAAAGGAAACCAGCGACACTGGAACCTATTAAACACCCGAGATATACTATTTATGCACTGGGCATCTTACATCCATCATCTGGTACCGTACAAACGCTTCGCACCGAAGGATTCGTTCCTAGAATCGTGCAATTAATTGGCCCTTTTAGTTCTGAATAATGGTCCACATTCATTGCACATTTTGCGCGTCTGAGCAAAACCCCTCAACGTGTTTGCGTTTCTTTTTATCAAAAAAATCGCATCCAAATAAAATAACGCCTCCCTCTGTTGCATCGGGTGCAGTTCGAAAATGTACTGCGTTGAACTGCAAAGAAGGTTTTACGCGAAGGCTCCTCCAAAGCAAACGCGCCACAGCGTTGGAGAGCACCAAAGCTGAGGGATGGGGGAGGAAGGTTGTTAACAACTGTTGTGGTGGGGCAGACGCTTCACAGCGATGCGAGGCGACTGCACTGCTGACGATCTGAGTGAGTGAGTGTGAGTGAGTGAGCAGTGGGCACGATGGGTGGATTGGATGCCTTGCAATATGAACCCTGCTTATCCCAGCAACACTGAGCTCAGAGTCAGCAAAACCCTCTCTCTCTCTCTCTCTCTCTATCTGTGTGTGTGTGTGTGTGTGTCTAACACAGCTAACAGATAAGATAACCACGAGTGGCCCTGACAGCCACATTGCCAACAGCATTCCAGCAACAACTCTTCTCTCCACGGGGGGAAGTGGGGACCAGCCATCAACACCAACTCTTCCCATCGACTTCAACCAGAGGGGATTTGCAATGGAATACGCTGTACGTGGCCAATGCACTGAACCACCTCATCCTCCCTTAGCCTTAAAGGGGGAGAAGCGAGGGGAGGGGGGAGAGGGAGGGAATCATTTTCGTTAACGATCAACAGACAATGCATTGTTTCGCTATTTGCAGAATTAAAAGGGTTTGTCGAGGAATGAGAGCGCCGCGTATGGTATCGGAAGCTTTAGAAAGAAAGGCACCGCAAGACACCAGCAGCGCAATGACTGACTGAGCGCAGAGCCAAACCCGCACCATTGATTCAAATGCGGCTAAAATACATCCTCGCAAATCTCTCTCCCTCCCCACCTCTCTATCCCCCCTCCTCTCACTCTCTCTCCCTCCTCTCTCCCTCCCCACCTCTCTATCCCCCCTCCTCTCACTCTCTCTCCCTCCTCTCTCCCTCCCCACCTCTCTATCCCCCCTCCTCTCACTCTCTCTCCCTCCTCTCTCCCTCCTCTCTCCCTCCCCACCTCTCTATCCCCCTCCTCTCACTCTCTCTCCCTCCTCTCTCCTCCCACCTCTCTATCCCCCCTCCTCTCACTCTCTCTCTCCCTCCTCTCTCCCTCCCCACCTCTCTATCCCCCCTCCTCTCACTCTCTCTCCCTCCTCTCTCCCTCCCCACCTCTCTATCCCCCTCCTCTCACTCTCTCTCTCTCTCTCCCTCCTCTCTCCCTCCCCACCTCTCTATCCCCCTCCTCTCACTCTCTCTCCCTCCTCTCTCCCTCCCCACCTCTCTATCCCCCCTCCTCTCACTCTCTCTCTCTCTCTCCCTCCTCTCTCCCTCCCCACCTCTCTATCCCCCCTCCCCTCACTCTCTCTCCCTCCCCACCTCTCTATCCCCCCTCCTCTCACTCTCTCTCCCTCTCCACCTCTCTATCCCCCCTCCTTTCACTCTCTCTCCCTCCTCACCTCTCTATCCCCTCTCCTCTCACTCTCTCTCTCTCTCTCTCACGCTCTCTCATTTGCAACGCGAAATAAAGAACCTGACACACACGCCCTGTGGGGAAAGGTTGTGGTACTTACAGTTCGCAAGAACTGAATTTCGTCTTCTCCCTCTGCCACCTCAGCCATGACTGCGGGAGACTGACTGACTGAGTGAGTGAGTGAGTGTGCGGGGTGAGTGAGTGAGTGAGTGAGAGGGAGGGAGGGAGAGAGGGAATGCAGAGGGCTGGGTGCCCGCTGCAGGAGGAGGAGGAGGTGGGAAGATGCTGCTGCAGCAGTTGCTGCTGCGTGTGGTGGGATTACGCTCCTTGTTATAAGAGGGAGAGGGAGAGAGAGAGAGAGAGCAGGAAACCCTCTCTCCTTCTCGGCTCCTGCACTCGGGGACGCGCTGCTTCAGCCCCAGTTCCTGCCTCACAGCGACGCGCGGCGGCGGCGGCCTCACTGGCTCTGTCTGTCTGTCTGTCTGTCTGTCTGGCTCTGTCCCACTTGACTGTCAAGAGACAGACAGCGCTCCTCACTTCATTGCGAAGTCCCTCTACACTGTCGTGTGTCTGTGTCAGCTCAGCTCAGCTCAGCTGGTGGCACTGCTCCCCCCCCCCCTCCACCCCACCCCACCCCAGTCAGAGGGTTGTGGGTTCAAGCCCCATTTGGGGATTTCGCACCCATAGTTTTAATACTGATGCTCCAGGGCAGCCCTGGGGTGCGCCGCTCCATTATCGAAGGAAGGTGCAGAGCTTTGGACAAGATCTTTGAAGTCCACGGGACCCAAGGTCCTGTCTACCTGTTCTGGTGGATGTTAAAGATCCCACGGCATTGTTCGAAAAGTGGAGAACTATACGCGTTGGGATATTGCTGGAATTTAACCATCTAAAACTGCATAGCTTGCCATTGAGAACATTGTCTCACAACTCTCCACTCCGTGTCCAGCTTGGAGCAAGCACTCTGCCCATTAAAGATTTGACTTGCATGGTTAACCAGAGCCAACTGCAAAGAATACCTGCCCCCAGTGTACCACACCTTACATTCCTCCCCCGCCCCCCCATAGATGCATAAATTAATTTATCATGCAAATACCATATTAAGGACATTCGACCTGGGTCTAATTTACTGTATGTGGCATCTCAGATCATCTGGAACATTCTTAAATACAGTGTTATTTTCTAAGCTTTTTTATAAATATTTTTAAGAAACCACATAAAACTTGCTTCAAAGTTAATCTCAAATAATCCTTGCATTTGATACAGGGCTTTATCACTTCAAAGTGCTTCACAGAATATACCATAAAGTGAATTGACTGTATATTTTATGCACAGCAGTGTCCCACAAACAGCCGTTGATTGAATCTCCAAATTGTTTCAAAAGAGATTATTACATCCAGAAAGTGATCCATCAATCAGCTAACAACCGGGTTCCTACTTACTGTTAGGCAAACAGAGGCATGTGGAGTAAAGAAACTTGCCACGCAGAATCGAACCTGGGTCCACTCACTTGCGAAGCAAGTACTCTAACCAATATGCTACAGGACTCCCCGTTAACATTAAATTCAACAATTTGCCAAATTATGGATGCTGCAGATGCTACATAAATAAAGTACAGTAAATCTAGATTCAGGCAGAATTTCTTCCAACTAGCTTTCTTACTTAATGTGGTATACAAGGACATCATTCTCTGGTGCTTATTAGATTTCCATGATCAGGTTGGAATAAATATTACAACAACAACAACAAGATTCCATTTATAAAGCGCCTTTCACGTCAGGAGGACGTCCCAAGGCGCTGCACAGTTGGGTCATGACCCGAGCAGGGGGGAAATGGTCAGGGTGAGGGGAGGGAGGGAGCGAGGAGGGGGGAAATGGTCAGGGTGAGGGGAGGGAAGGGAGGGAGCAAGGAGGGGGGAAATGGTCAGGGTGAGGGGAGGGAAGGGAGGGAGCGAGGAGGGGGAAGAGAGTCGAGAGGGGAGCTGAAGGCACGGTCAAAGAGAAAGGTTTTGAGACCGGCCTTGAAGGAGGAAAGGGAGGAAGCAAGGCGAAGGCACTGGGGGATGGAGTTCCAGAGCCTCGGGGCTGAGAGGCTGAAGGCCCGACCACCGATGGTAGGGCGGTTGGGGCGGGGGACGTGGAGCAGACCGGAGCCAGAGGAACGGAGGGTACGGGCAGGTAGGTAGGGGGATAGTAGGTTGGAGAGGTAGGAGGGAGCAAGGCCGTGAATGGCCTTGTAGGTGAGGATGAGGATCTTGAAATCAATCCTCTGGGGGATGGGGAGCCAGTGGAGGCGAGCGAGGGTGGGAGTGATGTGGTCCCGAAGCCTGGTGCGGGACAGTACACGAGCTGCAGAGTTCTGAATGACCTGCAGCTTGTGGAGGGAGGTGGCGGGAAGGCCGGCGAGGAGAGAGTTCCCATAGTCCAGCCTTGAGGTGACAAAGGCGTGAACCAGGGTTTCAGCAGCGTGAGGGGTGAGGTAGTGCCGTAGTCTGGCGATGTTCCGGAGGTGATGGAAGGCGGTGCCAGTTGTGGTGCGGATGTGAGGGAGAAAGGACAGCTCAGGGTCGAACAAAACGCCGAGGTTCCTGACTGGCTTTGAGAGGTGGAGAGTGCAGCCTTGGATGCTGATGGTGTCAGCGCCTGAGGTGCGGAGGCGCTGACGTGAGCCAATCAGGAGGGCCTCGGTTTTTCGCACGTTGAGCTGAAGAAAGTTGTCTCTCGTCCAGGACTCGATGTCGGACAGGCAGGCTGTCAGGACATCGGTGGTCGTGGAGTTGAGAGTAGAGGAGGAAAGGTAGAGTTGGGTGTCATCCGCATACATGTGGAAGTTAACTCCATGTCTGCGGATGATGTCACCGAGGGGGAGCATATAGAGGGTGAAGAGGAGGGGACCGAGGACAGAGCCCTGAGGGACACCACATGAGACAGTACGGGGGGTGGAGGAGAAGCCATTCGTCGAGACAAAGTGAAGACGGTGAGAAAGGTACGACCTAAACCATTCAAGGACAGTGCCTTGAAGGTTGAGGTGGGAGGACAAGCGGTGGAGTAGGATAGCGTGGTCGACCGTATCGAATGCTGCCGATAGGTCGAGGAGGACGAGGAGACAGAGGGAGCCCTGGTCACAGATGGTCAGGATATCATTGGTGACCTTGACCAGGGCAGTTTCTGTGCTATGGGCAGCACGGAAACCTGACTGAAGGGGTTCGAAAAGAGAATGGGTGGAAAGGAAAGAGCGCAGTTGGGAGGCGACAACTCTTTCCAAGACCTTGGAGAGAAAGGGGAGGTTGGAGATGGGCCGGTAGCTTGATAGCTGCGACGCATCAAGGGAGGGTTTTTTCAGGGTGGGCGTGATGATGGCAGTTTTTAATGGAATGGGGACAGAGCCAGAGGAGAGGGACAGGTTGATGATGTCAGTGATATGTGGGGCAAGAAAGTGGAGCTGGGAGATAAGGAGTGGAGTGGGGATGGGGTCAAGGGAGCAGGTGGTTGGTTTTAGGGATAGGATGAGTTCAGTGACAGAGGGTGGGGAAACGGGTACGAAGGTGTGTAGGGGAGGATGGGTAGGAGTCGGAGTGTGGGAGGGAAGGGGTGGGTGGTGGGTGGAAGTTGGAGGGGAAGTGACCGCGGAGCGGATTCCCTTGATCTTGGATTCAAGGAAATCCAGCATCTCCTCGCAGTGAAGGTTGGAGGAGATGACCTGCGCGGGGTGGCGGGGGGACGGAGGAGTCGGGATGTGGTGGAAAACAGTAGCCTGGGGTTGTTCTTCGCCTCCAGGATTATCCTGGAGTAGAAGGACGACTTGGCCGAGGCTAGAGTGGAGCGGTAAATTTTGAGGAGGTCCAGCCAGATTTGTCGGTGGACCGTTAGGCCAGATTTGACACAGGTGCGTTCAGCAGCCCGCACCTGGCTTTCAGTGAGCGGAGGTGGGTGGTGTACCAGGGGGAGGAGCGGGAGTAGGAGACAGTGCGGGAAGTGATGGGGGCAAGAGTATCGAGTGTGGAGGAGAGGGTATTGTGGAGGAGGGAGAGAGGAGAAGAGGGGTCGGTGAGGGTTGAAGGCCAGAGGGAGAGGAGTTCAGAGGACTCCAAGGCATCGGTTAGGGATTGTGGGGGTAACTTCTTCCAAGGGCGGTAGAAGATGGTGGTGGGTCTGGTGGAGGTGGGGAGGGGGGTGGAGGTGGTGAAGGAGATGAAGTAGTGGTCAGAGATGGCCTTGTCGGTAATAGTGACATCCGAGACACTGAGGCCCCGGGTGATCACCAAATCGAGTGGGTGGCCGTGACTGTGAGTGGGGGAGTTTATGTGTAAGGAGAGGTTGAGTGAGGAGAGCAGGGAAGAGAAGTCTGTGGAGATGGAGCAGGAGGGGGTGAAGTGTAGGTTAAAGTCGCCCAGGATGATGAGGCGATCGGAGCAGAGGCAAAGAGATGTGAGGAGTGTTGAAATGTCAGAGATGAAGGTGGGAGAGGTTTTAGGGGGCCGGTAGAGGAGGAGGATTTTAAGGGAGAGGAATGAGGGGTGGGAGAGGGTGAGGTGCTCAAAGGAGGGGAAAGAGCCAGTGGAGTAGGGGATAGGGCAAGTGGTGTCCTTGAGATAAGGGCAACACCACCGCCACGGCGGTTGGGGCGGGGGATGTGGTGGGAGGTGTAGCCGGGTGGCGTGGCCTCCGTGAGGGGGAAGGTGTCGCCTGGGGTGAGCCAGGTTTCTGTTAAGGCCATGATATCAACGTTCTCATCAAGGATGAGATCGTTGATGACCAGGGCCTTGTTGCAGAGGGAGCGGACATTTTGCAGTCCGATGTGGAGGGAGCGGTTGACAGAAGGGTGTGTGGGAGGGGAGGGGGGTCCAGGTTGTGAGGCAGGGGTGGGGGAGATGGGGATGAGGGAGGAGAGGTTGACTCCCCGGGTCTGTGTCCGGGGTGGGTGGCGAGTGTGGTGGGGAATGGGGCAGTCGGTGTGGCTGCTGCTGGACAGCCAACGCCGAGTGCCGCGGTGAGCCCGGCGGAGGATTCCCAGGCTGGAGCAGAGGGAGGTTGTGGGAGGGTCAAGTGGGGATAGAAGACGAGAGGGACGGAGAGAGAGGAGGAGAGAGCGGGAGAGATGCAGAGGGGGGAGGGTTTGGGGGGAGAGAGGAGGGGGGAGGGAGGGAGGGGGTGAGGGGGCTCGGGTCAAAGCGGCAGCCATAGTGCGCACGCGGGGACCGGGAGCGAGCGGTCAGGTGGATGGCATTATCCCGTAGATTGGGGCAGCGAACCCAACAGGACCATAGTGGGCTCTGATGTGAGCCCTGGGGGGGGGGGGGGGCGCAGAGGGTTTTTTTTTTTTTTTTTGCGCGCGCACTCACCTGAAAACTAATCTATGACGTCGCAGTTCCCCCGCTCCGCCCCCACACCCCCCCCCCCCCCCGGGGCTAAACTCACTCCGGCGTCGAGTTTAAGTACCTGGATCAGTAGGCCCAGGCTCCTCCCTGCGCTGTCCTGCCGCCGCTCCCCGACTGGCTGAACTCACTCCGGCGTCGAGTTTAAGTACCTGGGTCAGTAGGGCCATATCTTAACAAATAACAATTCTTATCCTCCCCAGGGAGTTTAGGGAGTCTCCTCTAAAACTTTCCACCAGGATTGTTCAATTCCCAATTTCCCTTATTTCCAAGTGAGGAACTTGCTTGGCCTTCACTTGAACCACACTCTCAGGATTCAGATTGACAGTTCACTGTATGTGGAATTTACAGATACGAACCTATGCTCGGGATACATGCACCGACCCACTGCACCCGCCTGGTCACAAAATAGGCTTTCCTGAAATCAACAATATTACTGATGTGTTACAACAATCAGCATCAGTCCTGTTCCCTCAGCAGGTCTGCAGACTATGCAGCATCATTGAGACCTGTAATGATTATCATTGCTCTTATCAAGGGATTGCAGAATTCCCTGCAGCACCTGAGAAAGCTTCCTTTTTCAACTAATGAGCAGCAACTTTACCCAGAGGTGCTGATGACGATTTCTCTTACAGGCGGACAGATCATGGTTTCAGAGAGAGCTGTTTAGCTAACAATTCACGATGCATTCAAACCAGTCACTCATTTTGGCATTCGCAATCAAGAAGATAGGAAGGGACAGAGAATTAGTCATCTTGATTCATACAAAACAACCGTGGTATTTTCATCTTGATGCAACGAACATCTTTTCAATAGCTCACATTACTCCAAATGCCAAATACCTGTTAAATCTGTAATGTAATCTGGTTTCCTTATTTTGAAAGTCACGGATAGATTAATTGGAGCTGTTCCAGTTACATTGCACTGCATGCTCTTAACAGATCAACTTCAGAATACATAAAAAATATATACATACATTACCCACATAAGGGAATGATGTTTTGGTTCTTTTTTAAAAAATTGACACTGGCAAAAGAGAGAGGATATTGAGGGCAGAGAAGAGAGAATATTACACTCACAAATCTGGCTCCTGCAATTAATAATATTATTATTAATAATACTAATTATTCAGCAATGATTCTACTTTTTGATCCACTTCATTAGTGACATCTCAGCAACCAATTGATTGTTCTGTCGTATTCTTAATATTAGTTTTATTACTTCACTTTGCAATCATAACTTGTATATGTGTATGTGTGGACACCTGCCTGCTTCAGGTACCCTGCACTTCCCGCCCCAATTGGTGGTCGGACATTCAGCCTCTCTGCCCCCACACTCTGGAACTCTATTCCGCAATCTTTCCGCCTCATCCCCTCTCCTGCCTCCAAGTCACGTTTAAAGACCTTACTCTTCGAACTGTACTTCGGACATGCTCCCATCCCCATCTCCTGTCCTCTGCCCTCTTGATCCCAACTCCCAACTCAGGTCCAAAACTCCCTGACTGTCCAGCACCCTAGGATGTTTTTCCGACGTGAAGGATGCTACACAGGTGTAATTTGTTGTTGTTGTGTGTGTAACCCATGCCATTTCTGTTATTGTCGCCCATCACTTTGGTGTGTTGATTTGTACAGAAGCATAGGAGAAGCTGTAAAAAAAATTCTATTTAATGTATTATTTATTCATTCTATTTTTCAAGGACATGACAACCTTTATTTATCCCTTTTTTTTCTTCCTTGAGCCAATGTGAGTGGAATGCCAGATGCCACAAATGTCCAGGGTTAGGTGAAGGTGCCAGTTTTTCTCCAGTGCTACTCTTCACAGGTCCATAGGACGTTTTGCATAACAGCAGCTCAACGGTGATTCACCCTCCTATGATCCCCATCAACAATGAAGGGATAACCTGGTGGATGCCAAACTGAGATTAAGTCTTCAACAGAGCTTGGAGAAAACGCTAAATAATTTATTAGTGCAATCTGCTGCCATTCTGCCTCTGTTTACACATTTTCTCCAAGGAGTTTTGGCCCTTGTATCCCAGGAACATTGCTTTCTTGGTGGTCATTGCATTTGAAAGATTATTTAGTACCTTCCTTGCAAGCCATGGTGATTTATTACCCTTACACTGTATTCTATTAGAACTGAAAATCTCTGTTTACAAACCCAGCCTTTCTTCCAAAGGCGATGTCTTATTTCCATATTAATCAAGATGCCACTCTGCCATCCCTTTCTGGGAGAGAAGGTCTAGGTTGGAAATTATCATGTAAAGCAAAGATGTCTGTGGAGTTATAGCTTGCTACAGTGATGAATAAACTACAAAAACATTCTAATTAATGGAGCAGCTATCTACCTGACCCCAGGAAGGACAGAGAGGCAGCTAACTGTCAAGCATTAAGCAGTTCACTAAATAAATGATAATGCAAACAAATGTAATTATTGAAAACATATGCAGATCAGCAAGTATGTTGTTATCAGCAGTTTCACATTGTTGAGGTCTGAACATTTTTCTGAAATGTAAAAAATCATCTGTTGTTTGTAATACATTCAGCGCCTTAGGTCGTCTTCCCGACATGAAAGGCGCTATACAAATGTAATTTTTGTTGTTGCTGTGTGCAAATTGCCTGCTGTGTTTGCATATAAAATACAGTCACTAAATGACATCTCAAAATGTACAATATGAAGGTACAATACAGAATGAAAGTCCAGACTTGATGGACCAAATAGCCTCTTTCTCCACTGTAAATTTCTACGATTCTAAGAACCTAAATTATATTCATAAAAAACAAAACATTGTTTTGTTGTTCATTGGGTATCCTCAACACTGCAGCTCCAAGGTGATCAATGGAGCTACTGGTAAATGTGTTACCTTTGGATGCTCCGCAGAGTCATCCTATAAGTGAAGCAGCAAAATCATAAGAGAGGAGCACATGTTAACAAGTAAACTATTTGAATAGCAACAATTTCTTACTCCTTCGAGAAAGATGGATGGAACCAGGCTAATTCAGTCAATGGATTGACAGATGTGCCAACCTGCTTGGCGAATTGACCTTTCTTCGGTTTCATGGCTGTTTCACTGGCATAATTAACTGAGCCATCGGAGGAGCTATCTTCAGAACTTTAATCTCCATTTCCATGCAGAACCTCCTGCCGTCATTTCTACGAGTTCTGAAAAGAGACAGGAGATACAATAGGATTCCTGAGTCAGGGTTACCCATCGTGCAGCTACCTATCCCCAGGGCACTTGTTTCATTTTAACATTATCGTGCAATTTCTCAATTCTAGGAACATAGAAATTGAACAGACCTGCTCCACCAGTTTTACAATATAATGGTAGATCTTTTAATCTCATTAAAACTCTTACTTCCTAAGTATATTTCACTCTTAAACATCCCAATTGAGTCTGCCTCTTCATCCTTCTGGCAGTGATTCTGATCTGAATGCTATTGGTATGATACCATAGGATTCAGATTAATGCTGGAATTATACTCCATATGTGAGACATTTTATCATGATACGTCACTATAAAATGCAGCTTCTTTTACCACAGTGATCTTGTTGCATTTATTCCAACACCCCTCTGAAATCTTTTCATTTTGTGCCAACCACTATTAATGCTGCATTTATGCTACATATTTGCGTGTGAATTACCATGATCCTGGAAGTGATCTGTGTAGTATATATGAGATTGAGCAAGCACAAATTGCACTGCCACCTGTTTTGAACATCACCTTGATGACTCATTAATAACATGTACAGAACTCCAAAATCAGGTATCTGTTTTTTGAGCCCAATTTAATAACAGGGCAATTTCAGGATAGATACCAGTAGTATTTATATACACAGATGGTAATTAATGACTTAAACAGGTTATCACCAAGGTTGGTTGAGGCCAGGATACTGGATTCAATTAAAAAAAAAAATTTTCTGTAAAAATAAATAGTAAGATGGGTATGTTGGAAAGATGAGATCAAATGGGCAAAAGGGCTTTCTTAATCCAGTTATTAGTTGATTGGTGGATTGCTATCTGGGGGGTAATAATCCCTTCAAATAAATAATAATAAAAAGAATTATTTGGTCTCTCAATCCACAACTGCTGTGCTGCGTTTCACCAACAAAATATACAGTTTATAGTATATTCTGTGAAGCACTTTGAGACGTCTCAGCGACGTGATAAGATGCTATATCAAATGCAAGATTTATTATTATTAATCTGAATCAATCTTGTGATAAAATGTAATGTTGTGATGAAGTGTAGACTGATCAGAAAATTGATATCATGCTTCCCCATCCTCTTATGGTTTCTTGATATTACTCAGTGCTGCATGACTCACAGAACATCATTTGTTAGCAGATGAGGGTTAAGAAGTACTGCTGCTAAATGCACAATATCCCAGCAGATTTTATAGCTAAGCTACTGACACATTCATATCATGACATATTTACATTGTGGAATGTGAAGTGGACCATTTAGGTATTGATTTACTCATTAGTGAATCCAGGGAATCTAAAGTGGTGAAGAACTCAACAGTTACAAATTCAAGGGATTTGGAAACATCAAGTAATTTTATAGTCCCTGTTACATTTCCAGAGTTTCTTTTGCTGCATGAATCATTGCAGTGTTTGGTAATTGAGATAAATGTGAAGATTTCATGGAGTATTGAGTAAATGCAATATAAAAGCACAACACCAATAAACATTTGCATTTATACAGCACCTTTCAAGCAGGGTAGTTTGTTGCAGAGACATTACTGGATGCAGAGCAGGGAAGGTAAAGGAGAAAGGAGGGAAGTGACCATTAGCATGGTCAAAGAGGTAGGTTTTCAGGAGGCTTTTAAAGATGGATAGAGAGGAAGTGGAGACATTTTGGGTGTTCTGGAGGTTAGGCACATACTGGCTGAAGACTCAGCTGTCACTGAATGTGGTGGAAAGCCAAAGAATGCATAGTAAACCTGAGTTTGCCAAGTGTTCGGGAGACTAAGACCAGAGAATATCACAGTGTTAGGTAAGAGTGAGGACATGTAGAGACTAGGAGGTGAGAGTGAAGATTTGCTGGACGTCTTGTAGGCAGTGGAGCCTGGTGAGGATGGTGGTGATGGACAAGCAAACTTTACTGCAGGGAAGGATGGAAGGACCAAACTTTTAATGAGTTTGTAGATCGTTGAGCCTGGGAAGCTATTGAGGAGGGCATTGAAGAAATCCAGGCTGGAGGGAATGAAAGTATAGATAAAAGTTTCAGCAGTATTGAGCATGAGATAGAGATGGATGCCTAATGTGTTGCAACAAGGATCAAGAAAAGTAGTTTTAATCAAAGGCCGGATACAAGCAAGGAAAGAGCTGAGAGCGAATCGAGTGTTAACATTGAATTCAGACCTAGTGAGATATTTGGAGCAAGAGGTAAAAAAGTAAGACCACTAGGATGGTTTTCTTTTTGTCCAGTTTGAGCTGAAGGAAGTTGAGCCTTATCCAGGACTTGATATATGACAGGTAAATGGTCAGAACATCAGAGAACCTGGAATCAAAAATGAAAGGAAAGATATAGATTTAGCTATTCCCAGCGTATATATGGAACATTACACAATGTCACAAGATGATGTAATCAGGAAAGTTTGAAAATATGAGTAAGTACATTAGTAGGTGAGGAAAGGGAGGAGACCAAGGATACTGCCCTGATAACTGTGCAGAGAATGCCACAGGTGACTGTGTGGAGAAGGGAAGCAGTGGGATAGATGGAATTGGAACCAGGAGAGCACGCTGCCACAAAAGATGGATGAGAGAAGAAAGGCGATCAAGGAGGATGAAATTGTTACAGCGTCAAGGACAGTAGAGAGGTCAGAGACACAGAAGCAAGACATTTATCACATACCTGGTAGAGGATTATTATAGATTTGATGACCAGCTGTGAATTGTGCAGCCCACGATGAGGATGGACAAATAATTCTGAAGTGACTGTAATATTAAAAGTCTTACAAGCAGCCTATAAATCCTATTTCCCATCTGGCTGTGTTATTTTTACACTTCTGTTTATTTTCAAAGAATTGCATTTTGCTATTTTCTTTTATTATTTATAATTTGTCTACTGTGAGGCTGAAGAGCCCTCTGATACTGCCCACTATCCATTATGTGCACTGTATTATGTCCCCCACATCCACGCCATGACTGGCACTGCCTACCACCACATCCGCAACATTGCCAGACTCCGCCACTGCCTCACCCCTCAGGCTGCCGAAACCCTCACCCACACATTCGTCAGCTCAAGGCTCGATGATGGAAACTCCCTCCTCATCGGCCTTCCCAACTCTTCCCTTCACAATCTGCAGATCATCCAAAACTCTGCAGCTCGTGTACTCTCACGCACCAGGCTCCGCGACCCCATCACTCTCCCGGCCTCGCCCAACTCCACTGGTTCCCCATCCCCCAGAGGATCAAATTCAAGATCCTTGTCCTCACTTTCAAGGTCATCCATCGCCTTGCCACCTCCTACCTCTCTTCCTGCTAACTCCCTACCAACCTGCCCGCTCCCTCCGTTCAGCCCACTCCGGCCTGCTTCATGTCTCCCACCCGACCTGCCGTACCATCGGTGGCCGAGCTTTCAGCCTCTCTACTCCCATACTCTGGAACTCCATCCCACAGTCCCTTCGCCTCGCTTCCTCCCTTGCCTCCTTCAAAGCCGGTCTCAGGACCCTCCTCTTCGATCATGCCTTCAGTCGCCCTCCCACCTCTCTTCCTTCCCTCACCCCTACCCCACCCCTCCCCCATGCTCGGGTCCTGACCCCTGACTGTCCAGCACCTTGGGACATCCTCCCAACGTGAAAGGGTCATTTTCAATCCATGACTGTTTGTGGGACATTGCTGTGCGCAACACAGACCAATCCAGTCTCTAGGTGTTGAATATTAATAGCTGTTTCTAGTAATTCTGAACCAAGGGAGAGATTGAGGCACTGTATATAAATCTGAATAAATTGAAAGATGAATCATGGGTGGCTTATTAATAAATAATTGCTATTGACATGGAGTTTAGAAACAGTACAAATGTAAGTATTATTATTGTAATAATTGTCAGCAGCACTTAGTTAGTACACTTTTAGATCTAAATAAGGCAGCTCTGAGCTCATTATTGTGAGAGGCTGAGTTCTTGGATTTCTGATGGATTGACATAAGAAACAAGATGTCAAGATGGTGATCCCATTCCCCCTCTCCCAAGATGGGACATACTTGAAAAACATATTCAATGTAAAGGGAACTATGTAATTGCAAGTTTTTGTGGTTGTGTACTGCAAGTGTTGTTTCTTTGGTGGCAAATGTGTTTTTTACCCTCAAAAGCTCTGGTAACTTGCCAGTTCCTCATTCAACAACAACAACAAAATTACAATTGTAAAGCTCATTTCATGTTGGGAAGATGTCCCAAGGCGCTGGACAGACAGAGTTACGGACCCGAGTTGGGGGTCGTGGTCAGGGAGGGTGGAGGCGGGGGGGAAGCAGGGAGATCGAAAGCATGATCGAAGAGGAGAGTCTTGAGATGGGTCTTGAAGGTGGCAAGTGAGGTGGCAAGGTGGAGGGACTGCGGGATGGAGTTCCAAAGGGTGGAGGCAGAGTAGCAGAAGGCCCGCCCGCCAATAGTGGGGCGAGCATGGCAGGGGACGTGAAGCAGGCCAGAGCCTGCTGAGCGAAGGGAGCCAGCAGGATGGTAGGGGTTTAGGGGTCGCAGGGGTAGGGGGAGCAAGACCATGGAGGGAATTGAAGGTGAGGACCAGGATCTTGAACTGTATCCTCTGTGTGATGGGAAGCCAGTGGAGTTGGGAGAGGATGTGGGTGATAGGGTCGCGGAGCCGTAGTGCAGGAGAGGACACGGCTGCAGAGTTCTGGGTGATCTTCAGCCTATGGAGGGAGGAATTGGGGAAGCTGACAAGCAATGAGTTTGCATAATCAAGCTTTGATGTAATGAAGGCATGTATGAGGGTTTCAGCGGCCTGTGGTGTGAAACAGTGTCAGAGCCGGGCGATGTTGCAGAGGTGGGGGAATGCAGATGGTTCAGGTGCAGATGTGGGTTAGAAAAGATAGTTGAGGGTCAAACAAGATGCCAAGGTTCTGGACTGGCTTAGCAAGGTGGAGTGTGCAACCATGGATGGTGATGCTGTCAGTGTCAAAGGTGAGGAGGAGCTGACAGGAGCAAATCAGGAGAGCCTCGGTCTTGTTGACATTCAACTGAAGAAAGTTAGCTCTCATGATGTCCGACAGACGTTCCGTCAGGACATTCAAGACATGACTCTAAATGGCAGAGCTGCATAATGGTTGTGAGTAGTTTACTCTACCTATCGGTTCTGAGTAAATCTACCTGGTGCTCAGTATCCATATCCGTGCACTCTCCTGGGTGAGGTGACTGGATAATAATTGGGAACGAGAACTCTACTGGATTTTTTTTGGTCTCTCTGACTCAGGGATGCTGAGACTTATTGTAGATATCAGCTAGCTCAGTGTAGACCGTTGTTCAAATCTGCCATGTACAGGACAACACCAAGGTCCCTCAAGTGACATGTTTACCCATTGAGTCATCAAGAGGAGTCCAGCTGCATTATTTATTTGAGGGAAAGATTCATGTTACTGTTTTCCCTGTTTGTCCCCTTGGTCTTCCCTGACACTGAGCAAGCAGTGATGAGATGGACATGGGGAAGCCAAGTGGGAGATGTGGTCCCAAACATCTGCCATTGCTGCTCTGATGTACCTGACATAACGTGCACATCAACGTCCTGCAGATAACTTTCCTCCCCAAGGAAAGGTTCGGAATTCATAGAAGCTACTTCCACCATATCGTAGCACATAATGTACTGATGTTTCGGCATACTACAACAGCTCGAACAACACTGTATTTGCATGCAGGGCACATTCTTACTACAATATTAGTGGCTCCTGGCTTCACTGCTTTATCCTCTTGTGAAAAAAGACCACTGACATTTAACTTTTCCGAACACGCCATCTGTCCCACAATCAGTAACAAAGCACTTCAATTGCCATGTCCCCACTCGCTGGAGCTCTATCCCAAATTCCCTTTGCACTGCTCCTTCTCTCACTGTCTTCCTCTTAAAAGTATGATTGATTGTGTCTTTTGTCAACAATCTTAAATTCTCCCTCTCATCCTTCCTGCTCAGTGCTTCTCATTATCTTTGAGAAATGCTTTGAGATGTTTTGAAAGGCTCTAAATGCATGTTGCTGCATGTTGCTGTATGCAATTATATTGAAGAGATTGCTACCAGTACAAAGTATTGTGTAGTACACTTTAAAAACATACATCTCAACTTCCCAATCATTCTTGGAGATACAATATGAAACTTGATCCGTGAAAAACAATTAAAAAGCTTCTCTTGCAGGTAAGCTTTTTTCCTTTCTTCTAAATGAAGTAGTCATCTCTGATCAGATTCCTCTGGAAGCATGCAACAACAACAACAAATTACATTCATAGAGCGCCTTATAATAATAATAATCCTTGCATTTTGCTCTTTTCACGTCTTCTAGACGTCCCAAAGCACTTCACAGAATATACTGTAAAGTGAATTGACTGTATATGTGTGGGCGAACGCGGCAGCCAATTTCCTTGCTTTTACCTCCATCCCCTTAATACCTTTACTTCCCAAGTATATTTCTTTTAAATATCCCAAATGATTCTGCCTCTACAACTTTTAAGGCAGTGCATTTCACATACTTACAGACCTCTGTGTGTAGAAATATAGTAACCTTGTAACACCCTAATATTTCCTTACTCTCATTTGTTATCCAAAACATTATGGTTAATACTACAGGGGAAGAAGTGGAGAGCAGGATATCACTTTGATTAAGAAAATGCATAAGTTGAAATCATGTCAAAAGTAGTGCACTCTTTGGCCATAAAACTCAATGTATGTTCTAAATCACAAACCATTTGTCAAGATAGTCAGTTACCTTTGAATCAGCCACTCAAGGCATTTTTGAGCTGGCTTCAGCATGAAGTAAGGAGATAAACGGGTTAAAAACACCAAGATGCTCTCATCCAGCTGGGCATTGACACTCTTGCTTTGAACGCTGCGCTCTACATCTTTAGAAGCCTGACTGAATAAAGTTGAGTTAAATTCTTCAAATGATGAATCAATTCCAGACAGTTCCTCCAGACCAGTGCATCCTATGAAGAGAGAGTTAAGAGAATATGATGACAAAACTAAAAGAAGATAACTTCACTATGGGCAGCGCTCCCATGAACACATACTATTGGTCCGATTATTTGTGTTTTTGAGTGGGAGGGGGAGGGTTCATCCATTTCACTTGAAGTTTCTTTTTTTAAAATGTGCTTTGAAGGCGAGATATTGAACCTGATAAGTGAGCCGAATTGCTAGCATCAAAGACCCAAGTTGTCTCAGCAATTGTAACATTTTAGCAATGTAACATTCAGTCCAGTTACTGTATCATCATAAAAAGAAAAAAGCACCCTCAGTTGTGCTGCGTTACCAGGGTTGTCGAGAAATGCCTAAAAAAAAAGATAAAATTAGTTTGACATAATTGAGAATTCTTCTTTCCGAAAACTATTTTAATTTCACAAATATACATCTTCTTCACTCCCCATTTGCCAAGACATGACTAGTGTATGTCCTCAACCAACATCCACCTAGGTACATGTTTCATCAGGATCATTGGGTATCATCAGGAGCCACCTGATCCCCCTCCCTTACTTTCTATATGCTTGAGCCATTGAAGACAATCATAGCAAACAAACTACTGCACAGGCTGAGATCAGCTCCCGACTCTGAAGACTGTCAAATAGCTGATGAGGAAACTGGTTTGGGAATGGCAGCTGCTGGAAGGTGTTCATGTGGCGTCTGAGTTTGGGAACACAAGTTTGTATACTACAGACCTGGTATCCACCTTGATTGGTAAGCATAGAGATAGCAAGATGACTTTCTGCACTGAAAAAAACATATTACTCCTGGGTTAGCGGGTCACAGATGTCACTTGCTGTGTATTATTATTATTATTATTACAGCTATGGGCACAGAAAGCCTTGCAATACACAACCTAGCAGCACATGCAGGTTAAATTGTTTATAATCACTTCCCATGCACAATTCCCAGGAAGCAAGGTTGGTGTAAAACTGATAACATAGACATTGGTAAGCTGGGTGTCTCGAGACACGGGAACCCATCACCATGCTTAAGAGCATCCATACCAGACAGAGCTCCACGCATGCCACCAATACATGGAATTCCCGTGTCTAAAATGGAATGTGTACTCTGCTCCGAAGGGAGTCACTCTGTTTACCGAATTCCAGAGGATAAGGCGCATGTTGGAAAGAGCCAAGGCTTGTGGACTTCAGAGTATGCATTTGGGAACTGCTGGAGTTTAACTAACTAAAGCCACATAGCTTGCCATTGAAAGCAAGTTTCCTGCTGCTTGTCCAGTGATGACCACGCTACAGATAGGGCTTGGCTTGCAATTTTAACAGGAATTGAATGGGAAGAATCCCTGCCCGCAGTAATAGAACCTAAAGATAAATAACATCACTAAGAATAAGTCTGAACTCATTACTTTTAGAAATAGAAAAAAAAGTAAATTAATGTAAAACCTGCTTTAACTAAAGTGTATTGATTAAGTCTATTTTTTAAAATCCCTGCCTCAAGTGACCTTCTGCCCCGCCAAGTCCTGCTGATGAGCCAGGCGGCCTGTGCTGTCATTAGCAGTGCCCTGGAGTTCTGTGTATCCGCCTGGCTTGGGAACCAGGCCACTGAGACCTCCAAAGAAGGCTGACTCGATTATGACATTCCACTGTCAGTTTAGCTCCAAGTAAACCCTGTTTACCCCCACATCGGCACCCAATGGAGGGTGGTCACGTGTGGGTCATTTGACATCTGACAAGTGCATGGTGTGTACCAAGAACTCCTGTGAGCTTCTAGGTGAGCAGCATATCTCAGCATGAAATGTGGATGAGCGCTGCCACCATCACCTTGCCCATAGTGCAGACACACACACATGCCTTACCCATTGCGTGATGATGTTGGCTGTATTACGTTATATCCAATACACTCTGTGATATTCAACGAATACATTGCTTAAAAAGACTTTGAACATACAAACCTTCCCAGCTTTGGTGACCAGATTACAAATGAAATCCATGAAGCTCATATCTTTGTAACAATGGTTGATTAAGGTATTCTTTGCCAATGGCACCCCAGGTTTCTATAAAAATAGAAAAAATGCAACAACTTTATTGTTTCATATTTACCACATCAACTAGTAAAGAACTGCTGACCCTCATCCAGAATCTTTTGAATCTTTTGCTTCCAGACAACAGCCTAGATGCCACTGGACGCTGCTTCACCCGAGTTGTATTTCTTGAAACATCTGCAACTATTGACCTAATAAGTGTGTCTAGAACACAGTTGTCTAAAAGATTGTGATTCCCCAAATGGTGAGTTTCCAATCTCGACCAGGCTTTCACAGGGAAGAAATGTGTGTGAAACCTCATATTGTTCTTACAACAGAAGGAAACACAGGAAAGCCAGTTCAGTAACAATGCCTGGAATATTTAATACCTGTATGGGCTCCAGCCAGTGCCATCGATGAGTTGGGTCGCTGAGTTTAAGTAGCTGAATGACTCTCACAAATACTTTAGTCTCATGATAGGGAAGAACACAGCCAATCAAACTGTCCTGATTGTACAAGTGGATGTGGAACCTGGTGAAACAAGTACACGAGTTATTGCCTTGAAGACCAAAATAGTGCAATTATTAGCACTGGGCTTATTGTGATACAGGTGATAACCTTGAGCAATTTCAACGCAACATGCACCACAATCCAAAGATTGTATTGTCATTAATGTATTAATGTATTACTCCAATTAAGAGCATAGGAGGAAAAAGCAGGCATTTTGCCTGTCAAGTCTATTAGATCATAACAGATCTTTTAATCCCATTTCCTTGCTTTTACCTCCATCCCCTTAATACCTTTACTTCCCAAGTATATTTCTTTTAAATATCCCAAATGATTCTGCCTCTACAACTTTTAAGGCAGTGCATTTCACATACTTACAGACCTCTGTGTGTAGAAATATTAACCTTGTAATACCCTAATATTTCCTTGCTCTCATTTGTTATCCAAAACATTATGGTTAATACTACAGGGGAAGAAGTGGAGAGCAGGATATCACTTTGATTAAGAAAATGCATAAGTTGAAATCATGTCAAAAGTAGTGCACTGTTTGGCCATAAAACTCAATGTATGTTCTAAATCACAAACCATTTGTCAAGATAGTCAGTTACCTTTGAATCAGCCACTCAAGGCATTTTTGAGCTGGCTTCAGCATGAAGTAAGGAGATAAACGGGTTAAAAACACCAAGATGCTCTCATCCAGCTGGGCATTGACACTCTTGCTTTGAACGCTGCGCTCTACATCTTTAGAAGCCTGACTGAATAAAGTTGAGTTAAATTCTTCAAATGATGAATCAATTCCAGACAGTTCCTCCAGACCAGTGCATCCTATGAAGAGAGAGTTAAGAGAATATGATGACAAAACTAAAAGAAGATAACTTCACTATGGGCAGCGCTCCCCATGAACACATACTATTGGTCCGATTATTTGTGTTTTTGAGTGGGAGGGGGAGGGTTCATCCATTTCACTTGAAGTTTCTTTTTTTAAAATGTGCTTTGAAGGCGAGATATTGAACCTGATAAGTGAGCCGAATTGCTAGCATCAAAGACCCAAGTTGTCTCAGCAATTGTAACATTTTAGCAATGTAACATTCAGTCCAGTTACTGTATGTCACAGCACACTATTTGAAATCTATACCTCGTCAGTTCTTCCACTGAGGCATCTGTTAACACTATTTTAACAAATCGCGGAGGAATTAATAATAATCCTTACATTTGATACAGCTTCTTTCACTTCAGGACGATGTCCAAAGCACTTCACAGGATATACTGTAAAGTGCTTGGGCTGTGTACTTTGAAACATTGAAAAGGAATGCTGCTATTGAGATCTCTTTGAAATAATAGCAAGTGGACTACAAGTTTAAGATAAATTTCAACTTTAATGAGTGATTAGCATCACTCCCACCCTCGCCTGACTCCACTGGCTCCCCATCCCCCAGAGGATCGAGTTCAAGATCCTCATCCTCACCTTTTAAGGCCATCCATGGCCTTGCCCCCTACCTCTGTGACCTGCTGACTCCCTACCAACCTGCCCGCTCCCTCCGTTCAGCGGACTCCGGTCTGCTCCATGTCTTCCGCCCGACCCGCCCTACCATCGGTGGTCGGGCTTTCAGCCTCTCTGCTCCCACACTCTGGAACTCCATCCCACGGTCCCTTCGCCTCGCTTCCTCCCTTGCCTCCTTCAAGGCTGTTTTCAAGACCCTTCTCTTCGACTGTGCCTTTGGTCGCCCTCCCACCTCTTTGCCTTCGCATCTACAATTGTACTAGCTTTAGATGCTGTGGAAACAATAACTGACACCATAATTGCCAAATTGCTTCCCTATGTACAGAAGGTAACGAATAGTCTATATCTTTTCTGCAATTAAATGAGAATCTTGTAAAACGTACTGATTAGCAATTTATATTAAATCTATAGAACTCAGTTTATTGAACAGCTGTGTGCTGGAGACAGTGTGTCAGAGACAGAGCTTGATTCACAGCTTCTTGATGTAAAATTCTCTTTCAAGTAGTGCCATTGATTGGAACATTGTTTGTGATGTACACAATTTCAGATGCAGAGTTGACTATTTTGTGCCAAATCAAGGTGGTTTGATTTTACTATTTCCAATTCTTTCTGTGTTTCCAGCAGCACATGGTTAGACATCTATTCTCTAGTTCAATCCAACTAACCCGACTTCATATGTTTTAAAAATACTTCAGCGAGTTTGTCAGACATTATTTAGGTATTATTGCACTGAAAGGCAGTGACGAGTGGATAGGGATCAGTACTGGCCCCAAAGCAGTTCTCCCTACATCTATCAGTGATCTTGATTTGGGCATCGATGGAAGTATAGCCACTTTTGCAGGTGGCATTTAGGTTGTAAGCGCATTGAGCTGTGACCAACAGTGCAGAAGTTTGCAAACGGACATTGACAGATTAAAGTGAGCTGGCGGGAATACGGAAGATGAAATTAATTGCAGCCAAATGTGAGGTAATGCATTTTGACTGTAAAAATACCAATGAAAAGTATGTGTTAAATAGTCAATTCCTTGGGACAGAGAGTGAGGGCAGAATGGTTCAAAGCTCGCCCATGATGGTGGAACAGATTGGATGAGTGGGTCATGAAGCAGGCCAGTTAACTGAGCGGATGGAGCTCCAGGGGCAGGAGGTAGCAGAGGGATGAGACTGTGGAGAGAATTGAATTTGAAGACAAAGATCTTCATTTCCATCTGCTGGGTGATGGGAAAATAGGGAAGTGTTGAAAGTACTTGTAAGATCAGGCAAAGAGTAGCGCATTCAGTTTGGGTGCCTCATCATCTGCAAGGATGATGGCATTGGATAGGGTGCAGTGTGGATTCAGAAGGAAGTTTCTTCAGTTTCCAACCTTTAAATGACAAGCAGTGTTCCAGCTTGAATTCTACCACTTAAATATTTGTATTGTGGCAGTGTATTCCTGTGTCGTATGCTCATTCTTTTTACATTTCTAGGGTCTGAAGTCTTCATGGGAAGATTACAGATCGGCAACCTACATGATTATCTGTCAGCTGGCTGTGAAAGTTGTCATGGAAGCCTCTCTTGTAAACACCTTGGCTCAACAAGTCAGCAGGACACTGGCAAAGAAATCATCTCTGACACGGGAAGGACTGAGCTGCCTCGTTATTTTACTGCAGAACCAAAAGCGAGAAAACATCAGTAAAAAGTAAGTAATTCAACTCAGGAAATGCACAGCAGCACCTGAAAGAGAAAGATAGCTTTGAAGGAAAAATAGTGTTTTATTCATAACTTGGACCAATATAAAAATGCGGGCGTGCCTTTTCCACTACTGCAAACCTCTCCCGCTACAAACGCGCCATAAGTGTAGTTTCTGGCCTGTGGGCTACTCGCGCTGTTTACCTGACTTCACTGTGGCGGAGCGACTCCGGACACACATGCGCAGTGCAGCGCAAGCAGCAAATGGGCCACACTCCAAGGCCCCGCAGTTGTGATTGTCTGTGTGAGTCTATGTGAGTGTGTCTGTGTCTCTTCTATATGTGTGTGTCTTTATGTGTGTGTGTGTGTGTGCGTGTCTCTGAGAATGTATCTCTCTCTGTCTGTGAGTGTGTGTCTCTCTGTGTCTGTTTATGTGTGTGTCTCTCTTTGTGTCTCTGAGTGTGTGTGTGTCTGTTTGTGAGTGAATGTACGTGTGGCTCTTCTGTGTCTGAGTGTGCGTGTTAACCTTGTTGACCTGTATCTACGTTTACATAGCAAGCTATTCTTTTCAGCTGATAGATCTCATTGGTGAAGCAGGATAGACCTAAATAAACTTACAGTAAAAATCCAAATTGTAGCAAGAAAATTAAGCAATGCAGCAATGTTGATCGACTGCTAAATAACATCAGAACTTGATTGTTCGCTGGGTCATTCCGTGCAAAATATCACCTGGTAGAAATTTGAAAAATATTTTTTCCTGTTTTTTAATTTTAATAAAACAATTTGTGTGTTTGTTAAAAGTTATATACCTAAGCGCAATCCATATCATTGAAAAATGAAGCGAGAAAAATCTTTTATGCGTGTTTGAAATATTTTTGTGGGTAAAATTCTGCTTTTGTAAACATTTCAACCTATCCAGTTCAATCTATTCATACTGATTTCTGTTACCTCTTAATATTCAAAGATGCATTTAAGGCACTGGGATATTGTTTTATGGTGACATCCTTTTATTTGGAAACTTATTACATTGAAAGTGTTAGCTGAGTCGAATAACTGTTTTATAATAACAGCACAAATTGCATAAATCCATGAGGAACATCAATAATGTTAACTGCTCGACAATAGAAACAAGTTCCATCACTACCTCCCCACAACCTTTGAGTTGAAGTGTGTCGAATGTAAATGTGTTTCGAATGCACAGAAGCCAACTATTTTTCAATAAGCTGTTTCAGTCATGGTTTCTCTACTTGGATGAGCTCTTTATCAGAGTCACTAAATGTTTCATTCCCTGCTGCGCTCAACTGCAGATTTTGACTTGCAGAAATTTGCATGTTCCCAATTGAATTTTATTTACATTCATGTATGATAGTCAGACTTTTTTTAATCCGGCTTGAATCCTCTCACTTTACAAATGCAATTTTGTTGTCGTAATAGTGTCTGGAGCAACTGATAATCACACTGGGTTGTTTATGTATTGTTTCCATTGAGGAGAATATTGTTAGAATTCTAGCTACTGTAGCTACAATCTGTGTTTTTTTTGTGTCTTATGACTTGATACCTAATTGTTCTTTTGTTTTGCAGAACCTTTGCTTATCTCTGCAGTGTCCCTGACCTCTCCACAGTTCTCCAGGACATTGATGCTCAATATAATGTTTCTCCCTTGCTTCATTATTTTCTCCCCAAACTCCTCCACTCTGTCACAGGTACTGGAGTAAATTTGTTTTTATTATGTCTAATCAGCCTTATATTAAATTAATGTTTTTATTAATTATTTTTGCAATCATCCTCCATCCCTGTCACCAAATATGTGCTGTGCGTGTAATTCGGATTGTGTTACAAGATAGTGGTTTGGGTCCATTAAATCAGACTACACATTATAACAGCAAAGTAACAAAATAGCGGTCACCATGTCAGATCACCGTGTCCAAGCTGACATCACTTTCTGTGTGCAATATATTTATTGTGCCACATCCATGCTCCACCTGGGATAAACTGAAGCTGGTTAAAATTGTTCATTGTATGTGTGTACACACGAGAATGGTATGGAAGATGGGATTAGGAGACATGGAAGCTTATTTGGAGTATACATACCAGTAATGTCTACTTGTTCTGAATGGCCTGTTTCTGTTCTGTTCTGTCTATATAATTCTACGGCTTTGTACAAAGCTGGCTGGTTGCTGACAATGTGCTGCACACTGCTATTTTACAAAACAGTGGATTTGTAACCTTCTAAGTTAGACAGCATTGAATAGAAGGGCATTAAGAGGTTCCTCTGTATTATACACCTACCTACCCTGGTAAGTGTGCTTACCGTTTTTTTTTCAGTCTACGTGGCATGCATTGGAGTGTAAGCTAGTATGTGACTTATACATGCACTTTCATCTCCCCAGCTGAAGCGGCTGAAGAACAGGAAGAACATTCCAGTTGTCAAACACGTGTCAAATTGTTGGAAGCTATACTCCAGAGTGTTACCCTGGAGAACAACCTGGGAGAAACGTTAGTCAAGTAAGTATGTTGTGAATCTTCTCAATGATTTCTTTGTATCTCTTGAGATAGCTGTCTTGTGCTGTGAGACAGTGATACTAATAGATTATGTTTGTAACAACAAAGGAAGCACCTATCTGGGAGTAAACTTGTTGATGATGTGTAACTACAGCTGTTAGTCACACAGTACTTCCTATAAGTACTTAGAGTGGCTAATATGTTGGTAGATTTATTATTTGTGAACATCTGTGTTCAGAAATTTACTATGTCTCCCTTTTGTCTTTATGTGAATTTGCTTGCTTGGCATCTGACTTTTTTTTCTATGGTTCAGTGTGCTGATTGATGACTACATTTCCCTGTGGACCACAAATGACAGTAGCTCCGACACCCCATCTGCTTTCAATCAGAAAATCAAGCCCTTGGTCAGGCTTCTTGAAACCAGGTAAGTTGCAATTGCCTCTGCGTGCCATCTATTGAATTGAACCATATTTCTGAAGGACACAATGTATTGTAACATTGTTGCCATTACTATGAATGTTTGTTGCATTCCCAATTGGAATGAGATACGGTGGGCTGGACAGCGGCACCAGTGCCCAGCAGATCTTCCTTCCCACTGGGATGTAGACCAGATGAACAACATCTCCAGGGTGATCCTAAGCATGTTGTGCCAGCTGTCTTGCTTTGGTAAAGCTTGATTACTGGTTGCTTCCCCTCATACTCGCTTATTTGCCTTGGGGAAAGGGGAATGGAAGAGATGGATTTGTATTCTCACAAACCAAAAAAAAAAGCTTTTGAGAAAATCACATTGTGAAATGTTGAAAGTGAAACTTGAGACATAAATAATGTGACTTAAATTGAATCTGTTTCTTCCTCTGTGTCAGAAGACGTAGCTTTCCATTTATGTCTGTTTTCCCTGTTGTAAAGATACTTTATTCTGCATCTTTGAAGGTATCCTAAAGCATATGATGCAGCCCTGGAGGAACGCCTGAGAACTATCATAAGCCCGAGAGAGCAAGATGTCTTTAACCAGTTTGTTTCTCTGTCTTTGAGCAGTGCCAAACATCAGGTAAAATGACATTAGATGCTTGGAACTTCTACTAAGGGTTTATTCGAAGCGCTTTTGAGAAGTATCAACGATTTGACAAGGCACTATATCAAATGCAAGGATTATTATTATCATTATTATCAAACATCAAATGTAAGGATTATTATTATCAAATATCAAATGCAAGGATTGTTATTAATTGCTAGTTTTCTCTCCTCAAAACATGAGGCAAGCTGGAAAGTTCATACGATTGCAACAGATGTTGCAAAAGATCAATAGCAAGCCGAAATAGTGGGGTAATCCTGCCACTGTATAAATCATTGGTGAGACCATACTTGTGTACAGTTCTGTCACCGCAGCACAAAAAGAATATTGGAGAAATTGAGAAGATACAGAGGAGGGCGACCAAAATGATTGAGAGAATGGAGGAACTGAGGTAATGAGGAGCGACTAAGTAAATTGGGCATGTTCAATTTGGAAAAGAAGATTGAGAGGCGACGTGATTGCTGTCTTCAAGATTCTAAAGGGACGAGACAAGGTAGATCATGACAGGCTGCTTGAACTTGTCCAGAATAGTAAAACCAGAGGACACGGCCTGCGATTGAAGGGGGGAAATTCAGAACAAATCTACACAGACATTATTTTAGTGAGTGAATAGTGAACCTGTGGAACAGACTCACAGGGAAACAGTTGAAGCAGGAAGTGTTAATTCTTTCAAACACAGATTAGATAGTTTTCTTTTAGGAAATAACATTATGTAAGTACATAGGTAGTTCGGGAAATATGTGGATGCGACCACCAGGAAGGACCTTGATTTCTTTGTCTAGCATTCCTTATGTACTTATGTTGGGCAGAGCACAGGTTGTACCTGTCTGTACTTGACCTGGAACAAGGGGAGCAAAAGGTAGAAAAAAAAATCATTATTCCAGAATATAACATCTGTTTCCTAGATGAATAGAACAACATTTTTTTTAAAAAAATTGGAGGATGGCAGCTGTAATAGTTTTGCTTTGTTTTAGTTACTCGCAGATTCTGACACTTCGCTGTTGCTGAGTCTGAATCACCCGCAGCCTGCAGTCCGCAACTTTGCTGTACAGCATTTGAAGGAAATTATAGAATCTTCACAGGTAATAGAAAATTTTATAGTACAAAATATTGTGAGCTTCTGTTACACAATTCAACACAAAATGATGACAGAACGGTAACTGCCTGGTACTTATCGCCCACAAAATACTGTCACTGCACTTTATAGTAAATCCTGTCTCCTTTTGAAAACGCATATTGAGTGCCACATTATCCACTTCTCAGGACAAACTGTTCTACACTCTGGGTAAAGTTGCTAATTCTTAAGGTTTATTTATTTATTCCCTTTCAAACTGAGATATATGCACCTTATTATGAGCCTTGACCATATTCTGTACCGGAATTTAGGTTGTCTATACCCTTTAAGCTATTATCTTTAATAGTGGAAAATAACTTCCAGGAAATCTAGTGTAAAGGCTGCATTTCATGGCAAGACTGTTATGGTAGTGCAACCTAACAGGATTTTACTAAGAGAAAACTAAGGGCTGAATGTAGTGTTGGTTTTCTGTTCAAACAGCGATGGAAATAACAAGCCAAAGTTGTTGTATTCTTTGAGATGTTGAAGAACCATTGATAGAGAATGGGAAAATACAAGGAATTTGGTCAGCCTTTTATTTTTATGGGAAATAAGGGTGAATTTTAGGTTTTTATTTTTAAGTTTGTAAACCTTGTCTTGCATTTGTTTGCAGGGGGGCTTTGATGATCTTTTCCTGAAAGACTCTATCTTGCAACGGTTGAAAGATGACACTCCACTCGTGGTCCTGGCCGCTCTGCAGGCTCTGAAGGTGAGATATGATTGTGGTAATTGATTTCATTGGGTAGAAAAATAAGGGTCCCTTCGTCTCCTTTCTCACAATCCTACACAATGCACCATTACTGGGCCGAACAACAGCAACAAAATTACATTTGTATAGAGCCTTTCGTGTCAGGAGGATGTCCCAAGGCCCTGGACAGACAAAGTTTGGAGGGTGGAGGGCAGTGGGGGAAGCAGGGAGATCGAAAGCACGGTTGAAGATGAGAGTCCGAAGGAGGCAAGGGAGGGGACGAGGCGGAGAGACTGCGGGATGCAGTTCCATAGGGTTGGGGCAGAGAGACAGAAGGCACGCCTGCCAATAATGGGACGAGCAAGGGGGGGGCGGATCATGAAGCCGGAGCCCACTGAGTGTAGGGAGTGAGCAGGATGGTAGGGGATTAAGAGGACTCAGAGGTAGGGGGGAGCAAGACCATGGATGGCTTTGAAGGTGAGGACTAGGATCTTGAATTGTATCCTCTATGTGATGGGAAGCCAGTGGAGTCGTGCAAGGATGGTGGTGATAGGGTCACGGAGCCTAGTGCATGAGAGGACACGGGCTGCAGAGTTCTGGCTGATCTGCAGCTTATGGAGGGAGGAGTTGGGGAGGCTGACAAGCAGTGAGTTTGCATAGTCGAGTCTCAATGTAATGAAGGCATGTATGAGGGTTTTGGTGGCCTGCGGTTTAAGAAAATGGCGGAGCCAGGTGGTGTTGCAGAGGTGGGGAAGGCAGACCGGGTGATGGCGCAGATGTGGGGTAGAAAGTATAGTTGAGGGTCAAACAAGACGCCAAGGTTCCGGACTGGCTTAGTAAGGTGGAGTGTATAACCATGGACGGTGATGCTGTCAGCGCCTGAGGTGTGGAGGTGCTGACGGGAGCCAATCAGGAGAGCCTCAGTCTTGTTGACGTTCAACTGAAGAAAATTAGCTCTCATCCAGGACTTGATGTCCGACAGTGGCAGAAAGGAGAATCGTTCTCCAGATCCTTCTGGAGTTGCACTGGGCCTTTACTTACGCTCCCCATTTTATGCCTGCTTTTGATGGCACAGATGAGATTGAAAAGCTGGTCTATTATACCAAACTCCATCTTGATATTCATGAATTCTCAGGTTCAATGTGCTGTCAAGCAATTCGCAAATTCAGCTCAGTGCATTGGCTACATTCAATGGTCCTCAATTTTGTATGAACATAAGAAAGTTGCAACAAGAAAAGGTTGTTCCCCTCCCATTAAAACCATGCCTTCTATAGTTCTTTTACTCACTCTCATCTCCTGGGGGACAGCCTTGAAATTCTACAATTCGCCTATCTCCAATATTCAATTCTGGCAGCAGCTATGATTTCCTATAGTTTTTGAATATAGCAGAATATGAAGCAACACCCTCGTGAATGTGATTCTCCACTACATCATTTAGTATTGTAGTACTGTACATTTGGAAATCTAATTTGGTCTTAAGGTCTTGCCAAATGGTACATTGGTCAGAAAATTTATAATATTGGCAAAATTTTAATATCAGTAGATTCCGCACCCCATTATATTGCCACTTTTCTGACTCTCTTTTGATTTCCTTATGCCATGTGCCTTTCTTCAGCTAAGAGAGGGCTGACGTGCAGCTAATAATTGAATATAAGAAAATGCAGGAGGTTGCTGCCCTGAGGGTTTTATTTACCCAAATGTGAAGTGACTTAACTGCGCCTCCTGCTTCCCACATCCCACAAAGACCATAACAATAACAACAACTTGCATTTATATAGCGCCCTTCATGCCGCACAGCCTAGATCAGGGAATTGGCACAAAGCTGCTTCGCAGCGCTCTGCAGGCCCATTGCTTTGAAACACTCAACTCATCGCATTGGCTGCTTTACTGCCTCAGAAAGGATTGACTTCAGTGAGAGATAAATTCAGTGCCTAGAGAATTACTGCGCTCTGTTGATTTTTTTAAAAAAGCTGAGAGCATGCATTGCAGCTCACTTTAATACCAGGAATGAAGGCAGTAGATCAAGCTTGTGTGAAGGAAACCTATTCAGGGTATATGTGCACCAGTATGATGCACAGGAGTCGACATTTTAAATTATTCAGGAAACTAGAAAGGTCTGTGTTCAGATCTATCCTCCAGCAGAGCTGACAACAAACATATTCACCATCATGTTGTGCTCTGATGCTCTCAGCTTGTCAGGAGTTTGCTTCCCATTCATAAGCTGCACCTGACTTGACCTTTTTTTAATACCTTCTTCACTTTGAGGGATGATTATCAGCAGCTCCCCAAATTATAAATTAAATAACCTCTGAATTCTTTTAACTATCCTTACTGCGACATCCCAGGTAGCCCAGCGGGTAAAAGCGTTTCCCATTGCAGACAAGAAGGATGCATGTTTGAATTGTGGCCTACTGATCTCAGTGTAACAGTGATTCAGCACTACAATTGATCTCAGCTCCCTGAGTTATTGAGTGGAAACTCAGCCAGAGCTCTCAGACCTGAACATGATCCCGAGACCCTGTACCAGAAGGTTGATGTGTCATATAGAACTCATAGGGAGGAACTGTTGAGTTTTATGTGCCATTTTAGTGCTGCCATTTATTATAACAATCGAGAAGATTAAATGGCCTGAAGGCAGAGATTACAGTACTTTGAAGATTTAAGTATCTTGAGTGTTGCAGAGATTTTTTATTTTCTTTAAACAATCCACAAGGACTGCTGCCCTTCAACTCTGGATTGTACCTGTAGAGGACATTTAATTCATTTCAAATTGGGAGGAGAATAAAAAAACTGATAGTCAAATAAATCCTTTTTATTAAGCATTTTCTTTGAAGTATCAAGACCTATTGAATAGTATGGCAGCTATAATCCAATGTCATGTCTTACTGTAAAGCAGTTGTAGTTTAAGCAGCATTTGTGATAATAACTGATTATAATTCTGCCCCTCACACAGGCTTTCTCTGGACCCTTAGGCCAGGAAGATACTGTATCCCATATCTTGTCTCTGTTCCACCAAGTGGACCTTACAGAGAATGACCAATGGTGAGTGTCATCTAACGGACATCAGTTACAATTAACTTGGTAGAAAATACTGAGTTGACTCAGAACTTCAAAGGGTGCCAGATCAAAGTATAGTATAATCTGTGGGTAGATTTATGCACGAGTATTACATATACATGCACTCACATGCTCACAGGAACCACTGTTAAGTCCTGTAGCTCAGTGGTTAGACAGACAGACATTTCGTCTTTATTATTATAAAAGATATAGATTCCCTGAGACATAAAGTCGAAGACTCTCATTTGCATTCTTTATGGCTTTGTCCACCGGTCTACAACCTGAAGAGTTCTGTGAATCTAAATACTCCGATCCCTTTGCTTCTCTGCCTCTATTAGGTTCTGACTATCCAGGGTAGTCGGCTTCTTTATTCTTCGACCAAAGTGAATTATTTCACATTTACTAAATTTACATTTCAATTGAAAGAAGCAACCTTCATCCCATCAAATTAACTGATTCAGAAGCCAGATACAACGGGTTTGTAAAAGGTTTTCTTGGTAACTAACTAACTACTTACTAAGTAATTAACTCCCAACACCTGGGCATCCTGTTCTCGTAACATTTTAACAGCAGATTTGTTGTGAGGCATATTCAAAAGGGACTAGATAAATATCTAAAAAGGAATAAAGTACAGCGATATGGGGGAATTGCAGGTAAATGGGACTGAAAGGATTGCTCTTAAAAAGAGCCAGCACAGACCTGATGAGCCGAATGGCCTTCTCTGCTGTAAATTTCTATGCTTCGTAAATTTCTATGCTGTAAATTTCTATGCAGCCAGAATGTAGAACTGGACTGAAGCACGAGTACATCCTTCAGGAGGAATGGGTGAAAACTATGATTTAATCTTACAGGTTTTATTGGAATCCTTGTGCCCTTGTACCTGCACTATCGCATTGATGTCTTGTGCTGTGTCAGAGTTTTCCAGCCTCCAGAGTTTTCCTGGCAGCAGACAGTGGCAGATGGCTGGCTCCAGCTCTAGTACCACACACAATGAGTTACTGGAGAATGATTTGCTCTGTATAAACTACAGAACTTAATGTGACTCAAAGATGGGAACAGTCAGCCTGTCAAGTTTGTTCTGCCAGTTTATTGGATCATGCCAGTTCATTTAATTTAATTTATGTCCATGCTTTTCCCCATGTCCCTTTTGAACTCTTACTTCCCAAGTGTCTTATCAGTTTGCCTGTTAAACATCCCCAAATAATTTGTATTTATAGCCACCTGGGACAATGAATTATACATTTTCACAACCCTATGTATGAGGAAATATTTTCTAATCTCATGAAATCCTGATTTAAGATGACCATTTCCCATGCCATTATTTCTTCACATTGGCTTCTTCTGAAGTCACTGACTCATGTTAACCCGTGCCCAGAATGTCCCTTGTTCAAGCTCTGGTCTACACCTAGTTAGACAATCGTGGGTGGAGCGGGGGATCTCACAGCCAAGCCTGTCCTAATCCTGTTGCAGCCTGACAGCCATATACAAGGTTATTTCATCCAAAATTGTTTGAGAAGCATTGGGAGTTCTTCTCAAACAATTTGATTCCCCTGCCTGACCATTATAGCAAACCTGCTTCTATCCCGGCTGTTATCAGCTAATCAGTAAAGATCAGAGATCGGATGTGAGACTTTCCAAATTCAAATTGGGCAGTGGCTTTACAAACTGGGCCATCAGTAGAACCATATTTGTGATCTCTCAGAATAGGCTTCAGTGAGTTTGAGACTTATGCCAACGTGCTCAGTGCTGCTAAATCCTTGTATCAAAGTTATGCGAATGTCACTTTTCATTGTCATATTTGTTATTTGGCTTTTTATCTAATTTGTTTTTGATTTTTATTCGCTTAATGGTGTGTGCTGATTTTACAGAATAAACAGCTTGGGCTGGCATTTATCAAATGTGATTTTATAAAGTAATCAGAACTGCAAAACTGCACAGAGAATGCTAAGTTTGGAGAATGGAGGAGTATTCACACATCTGCAAGGGAGTGCGTGTGTAGGTGGTGTGGAACTCTGATCTGGTTTGGATATTCTTAAGCAAGTTGATGGGTTTCTGCTATGTCAGACACCTGGCTAACCAAAAATATATGACAAAAAATTGTAGGTATTACAATACCACCACCCACTGGACAAAAGTGGTGCTGCCTCAATGGCAATCATTTTCTGTATACAGCTGCATAACATCTGCAGAAATGTTTAAATAGTCCTTCCCTCTTCACAACTTCTTAACTTTTCTGCTCTGCAATTGTTCCTAGGTGCTCTGTCCTTGAAGAAGCGATTATGATTTTAAGCACTGGAGGTTTGCTTGATGGGAATGAAGTCCTGACCGGTCAGGTGTTGACGGAACTTTTGCCCTACGTGATTCTGACCAATCCTGACAGACAGTCGGCTGAGCAAAAGATAACTGTCTTCATTGCTAATTCAGGTCTCTGCTCTCTGACCCCACTGCTGCATGGCTGGCCAGAAGGTAAGGGATATATGTATTGGCAAACAGTGACAATGATGTGTACTTTGTGTCGTTCATGATAAGAATTATTTTCAGTTGCTGTATATCAGGTACAATACTGGTGCCAAGCCAGTTCTGTTAAACACCCAAGAGACATCCTCCCAAAGTGAAAAGCACAATGTAAATGTAAATTTGCCATCCGCATACTTACCCGGACCAAATTCCATTCCCACAGCTCACCAGTTCTGCCCAGGCTCCACTGGCTCCCCATCACCGAACGGATCGACTTCAAGATCCTCACATTCATGTTCAAATCCCTTCACTCTCTGGCGCCTCCCTATCTCTCCGACCTCCTAACTCCCCAATCCACCACCCGGTGCCTCAGTTCAACTGGAACCGGCCTCCTGCTCATCCCTCGCACACTCTGCCCCACCATCGGAGGTCGCTTTCAGCCACTACACCCCAAAACTCTGGAACAACTCCCTCAATCCTTCCATCTTGACTCCTCTCTCCCCTTTTTCAAGTCCTGCCTGAAGACCTTCCTCTTCGACCGTGCCTATGGCTACCTTAACTCCACTTAACTCAGAGTCATGCTCCACCACTGTTAAGCGCTCTGAGACGCTATCCTGCATGGAGGGCACAATATAAGTGCAAGTTGTTGTTGTAAATTTGTATTGTACATATCTTATCGTTCTCAGAGGACACCGTTGAACCAAAGGAAATAGTTCCCAATTGTTGTGTTATTAGAGATGTCTGCTTTTAGATAATTTCAGAAATTTCCTTTTCTTTCCAGCACTGAAAGATGCCATTGAATGCTCTAAATCATCACGGCTTGTAGGTGAGGCTAATGAGAAACTGATCCAGATTCTGGTGACTAACATGTGCCAGATGGAGCCCTCTACTAAGACTTGGACAGTAAGTGCGGAGTCTCATTTAATACTGTGGCTGATGTGATGTTTTTTTAAAAAGATACTGATATCCTGTGACAAATGTGAATTCTTATAAAACTAGTAAAATATTGTAAGTTTCTGCTGTGAAATCTAGCCATTATTGCTGATAGTGATCTGAAGCAATACTGAATGGGTGCCTGCAGTGCTGTAGGTTGAAGGTGCAACAGCACCGTTTTCTGGTTGTGTATGATGTCCTAATGTGTCTTAATCCAATACTACCCAATCAACCGGAGTTTGTATTTCTGCTTAACATTACGTTTCTTTACAACTTTAGGTAATCAAACCTGAGGTTACAGGTTACAATCTGTAGTGAGATAGTGGAGTTGTGATTCAGTTTCATGTTTGGTGGGCGGGAAGTGTTATGAAATGGTCTGAGAATGAGGCATTTTGTTTGCTTGGTTTGTAGGTGGAGATTCTTGTACAATTTGCTGAGAAAGAGTCCTCAAATCCCAGACAGAATCTGATCTTCAGTGTACTGAGCTTCGCTCTCGTTCAGGCCTTGGAGAAGCAGCCTGAATCAGGTAGTTTTCAGATTGCTTTGCGAGTGTTTGGCTTCTTGGAGAAAAAACTGAGGAAACTCATCACAAAAAGTGAACATCTGGTAAGACTCTTTCTCTGTGTGTGTCTCTCAGAGAGTGCATTTTTCCATTCTCAATTTAATCTTTTTAATACTAACAGCATTTCAGAACTAAATTCTAACTGTACCTAACTGTTTTAATTTCTTACAAAGTTGTTAGAAGTTCTTTTCATTTTCTCTCAGCTTGAGAATTCAGTGCTCACTGATTCCACTGCTGAGTGTTTGTGTGGCTAAACAGAACATCTGAATTGGGGAGATTGTAGTTTTAGCCCATTTCATCCCCCACCCCACGTCCTTTACAAAGTTGATCTCAAATCTCTAATCTCCATCTCGAAGCACCTCCTAGTTGTTCTCAATATTTTGGGTGCTGAAGGTTTCGGCAGGGATTTAACTGCACCATTTGGTTTTGGGCAGGAGGAGGTTTCTGAAAATAGGTGCCTTGATTCTGATGGAGGGAACACATCGCTGGCACAGCTGCTAACTGAGCTTGTCAAGACTCCACAAGCTGGCAATACAGAACCTGGACTGATTCTCACATTGCTGCTGAAGAACTTCATCGTTGCCTTTGAACCGCCCATATCTCTCCCAAAAGGTAAGCTCTTTAGTACAATAAATTGGCTGATGGCTTTTATATGAATATTGTAACCCACATTGAAAAAAGTGGTACTTCTATTATATCTTTAAGTAGAAGGGATTTGTATAGAAAATACCACAGATGTGGTAGAAATTTAGTGCAGAGAAATCATTTGAGGAGATGATTTAATGATGTTGGCATTATCCAGTGCAGCCCCATTATACTGGTTTGTTTATAATATTGACCCTGTTCACTTTTACATGTATAATTTATAAGTATACCTGCTTGCAATTACTAGTCTAAGTTTATAACTTGTTAACTTAATCCGTTGTATCTGTTTTTCAGGGCAATGGGTGGGTGATATTTGAGATACTTTTGAATGTGAGGAGAGTGAATGTGTCTTATTTGTTTTCGGGAAAAAGTCTCTTGCCTATTTACTCTACTACAAGTGATGCTATATAATAGAAACAGGAGGTCATTTGGCCCATTGAACTTGCTCTGATATTTTATTAGAATATGGCTTTTTTTTAAATCTCAATTCCCTGACAATTCTGTATGTCCCTTAAATACCTTATTTTTCAAGAATCGATCTATCAATGCCAGAAGATGAATTGGGTGTATATTCGCCGCTTACACTTATTAAATACTAGCTGTACCTATTGCAGCTACGCTTGCAACCAGAGAATCCAATATGGAATGTAGATTGACACACAGGAGAGACACACTTACTTATCCTTGAAAGGTTTGATTTTCACTTAGGCATCTTTATAATGCTGAATATAAATGTATAATTTATAATCACTGGGACGTGCTCCCGACGTGAAAGGTGCTTTAAAAATCTAATTTTGTTGTTGTCATGACTTAGCTCCGTCTGTGTTCTTTATTTTGTTCCCACCGCTGCTTGGTTACGTGCGTGCTTTGTGATGCAGGATGCCACAGCCCACGGTCAGCCAGTATGGCCACCAAGGTAACTGCAGTGCGTGTGTATGTGCTCTGTGACGCACGATGCACTTTGACTCGGTAGCCACCAGGTGTAACTGCAGCAAAAAACGCAAAACTGAAATACATTTTAGGTCATACTCATGAATGATAGGAGATACCCGAAAACAAATATGCTCATGTCATTCCTAGATACAAAATCTTTCCGATGAGGTATATATCATGTCTCCGCATCAATCGATTATTGAGATCCTTTTTGAAGCGCAGACAGATAAACATTGTCATGTTATTAGCATAGAAGATTAGGAGGATTCTGTAAACACAATGTCTTAGTGACACAAATCTGTTGGGACAATGAATCTCAGGAGTTATGACATGCTCCTGGAAAGATGCAAGGGGAATCCTCAGGCTGTGTTTGAAGAGCAGGTTTGCAAGTTTTACTGATAATAAAATATCAATAAAGCATAAAAGATTGTTGGATGGAGATTTGGGACTGATTGTCACAAGCTCCATTCATCCCGGAAGTTACTTTTCTTCTCAAACAGATAATAAAAGCCAGAGAGAGCGAGAGAGCATGGCTCAACTTTCTCAAAGTTCATGACAAAGTTTTTTTTGGTCAGCCGGGTATCTTGACACATGCAGAAACCCATCACCATGCTTAAGAGCATCCAAACCAAACTGAGAGTTCCATGTATCCAATCAATACTTGGAAATTCCCAAGCAGTTTATTGGAATACATATTCTCTTCCTGAAGGGATGCATCCTGCTTACTTAATTCAGGTTGGCAAAACCCAAAGCTTCGGGATTCCAGGGTGTGCATTAGGGTACTGCCCGACAAGCCTTCTCACTGCTTGTCCAGCTAGGACCACCCTACCCATTAGGGCTCTGCCTTTCCATGTCCTGCTGATGAGCCAGGCTTTCTGAGCTGTTGTCAGCAGTGCCCTGGAGTACCCCGGACCCACCTGGCTCAGGATCTCGACTATTGAGACCACCACAGACGGTTGGCTCAATTCTGATATTCTATTGCCAAACATGTCACCTTGGAGCCAGTTCAGCTACAGGAGATCGTGCTTACCTCCCTTCCCCCCACCCACCCCATAAGGAGGATAGTTTTCTCAATTCTTGGGTTCAAGACTCATACAGATCGTGTACATTATTTTTATATGTTAGCTACAGCCTTGTAGGAGTTAAATTGCTTTTTATTGCCTTAAAGAGACAATTGTGATAGTTGCGCATTAAGTAACTTTATGGGTTCCACACATAGAACCACAGAGTTTTACAGCACAAAAGAATGCCATTCAGACCATCGTGCCAGCACTGCCTCCTTAAAAGAGCTATCCATTCAGCCCCATTTACTACCTTTGTAACCTATATCACTGCAAATTATTCCTTTTTAGATATCTAGTTCCTTCTTAAAATCTTATATGAATCCTGCCTAACCACCACATCCGGTAGGGAATTCCACATCCTAACAATCATCTAAACAACAAAAAAGCCTCCTAATCTCTTCATTTGCTAATACCATTTATAAAGCCACAGCAGCAATTTTAATATACTTTGGGGCAAGCAGATTATCACCATAAACCGCCTGTGTGTTTGAGTTCATTGACCAGTGATTATGAGAATTGCTCATCTTGTGAGGCCTAATGTTCACTTTTTTTACTGCACCTGTTTCAGGCCAGACTTGGTGGAACCCTGAAAGTTTGGACAAGCAAAACTGTGATTACCTTCGCCTTCTGATCGGACTGTTTGACATTATTATTTGCGGCTCCAGTGAAGGAAGCCTTGTGGGGAGTTTCAGAATACTCATGCAGCTGCTGTTCCAGGTGTGTTTAGTTAGTCTCACCTGTGTTAATAATTTAATTGCAAGATTTTGAAGGTGTTTGGAGAAGAGAACACATCTATAAATGATACCGGTACAAGATTTTGCAACACCCACTGAACAAAGGCTTTGTATCAGCTACCCTTGGAGCTGTTCAACCCCTTAAGTTTGTTTTCTTCTCAATCTGATTTTAAAATTCAGATAGTTCAAGTTTAATTAGACATATCAATTGTGTCAGCATATACAAGAGGGAATTAGTTAACTATTTGGAGGAGAAATCGATTGAGTTTCAGATGGTATTGGATTTTTATTTTGCTTTAGTATCAGCTAAGTGGACGACAATGGCGTATTCCAGTCCTATAAATTTCTGGGTGTAGCAGGTACAGGATAAATAAACAAAATGTATTGACAGTTCCACTTTATGCAGTGTAGATATGTTAAATCTTGTCAGTTCAGTTTACCAACTTTCTACTTCGTTTAAGAAAGCAGATTGGTACAAGTAGGATGAAATTCAGTGTGTGTCCCAAACAAATGCATGAGTTAACTCCAGTGCTCAGCAACTCAGAATGCTCGAAATATTGCACCACAGAAAGAGGCTGTCTTGTCTGCTCTTGCCAGTTCCCCATTCCATTATTCATTGGATTTATCCATGTGAATAAATGCTGCATTCTCCACTATCTCAATATCAAATTCTCGTGGCTGCAATAGAGAACAACTAAAGCTATTATTGATTGGAGTCACTTCACTTGGGTCACGAAGCATACCACTTTCACAAGATCCCTTCTAAGACGTTAAGGACAAAGTTTTGTTAAATATATGTTAGTTATTGACCACCTGATGTAGTCATTTAGCAAAATGTTAAAACCTGTTTCCGCACAGATGTTTTTATCACAATATCTAGTTTATCTGTCATTTCACTGCTATGCAAGTGAGACATAAGCAAGTTTGAGATCTGGATGAAGCTCAATTTTTTTCTACTTATCCTATTCTGATCCTCCAGTTCTGACCGCTGTTTATCCAAGGCCAGTTGTCAAACTATTTTCGTCCATCCAGTAGCTAGACATTAAATTGATTCCTCTGCATGAATAAGCCCTGAAATGTAATTAATGCTTTTTATACAGCTTGGATTTTCCTTGTGGTTAATACATGTGCAATCGGTTGGCAGAGAAAAATAAAAGTTGTTGTCTAAATAGAGGACTATGTTTCTTCCCTTTTCTGCTAACCTACAAATGTTATTTCAGACTCACCTGCCGAATACCAACAGCCTCTTCATGTTCTTGAACCTTTTGTGGACCTATAACTTTAACCTTGGCAACCAGATAAACTGCACAATAAATGCTGTGCTTCAGACACGGGCTCTTTACATGGGTCGTGTGCTGTTGACAGATCAGTCTGCAGGGCAGAGAGGTATGCTGGCATCTCTCTCATCCCCAGGTATGGACTAAATTGGTGAACTTAACTTAGTTGTGGTGGGAGTTGCAATAAATTGGCTTAGTGGTAGTGGGAGGGGTGGTAAATTGGCTTAGTTGTGGTGGGAGTATTATTTGGAGTATTTTACCTGGGATTGCTTTGTTCATAGATGGTGATTTCGTTTCAGTGCTAATATCACTGGTGATCTGTTTGGGCAGTCCAGTGAGAGAGGTGCGCCGGGGTGCCATTGGATGTCTGCAAACATTAATGCTCTTGCGAGGGACTGTTTTTTACCAAGTTATTGATAAACTTGTGAATTTGGGAGAGGAGATCATTTCAGATCACAGACACTTACCCCAGGTAAGAAAGTGGATAAAGATTATTCTGTCATTTTAAATTGTAATAATTTTGTGCAGTTGTAACTCCTCTATCCTCTTTTAAGTGTTGAACATTTTAGGTGTGGTGCAAAGTTTTTAAAATGTCACCGTTAGTTTTGGATGTGCTGCACTGACCATATCTGGACCTCCAAGCCCTGCCCCTTTAGACCATTATTACAACCCAGATTGTAGTGATCTGAGAAGTTTACCCCCCCCACACACACACACAATTACCCTTGCCCCATCTGCTTCCTAAGCTCAATGTAAGGTGCATTTATGTCACCGCTTCGACGTAACCAAATGCACAGGATTCAGACATGTATTGAAATTTTTGCTCTGGATTAGGATAATGTGCCCCAATCCTTCACCGGCAAGTATTCTGAAAGCTGATCAAACAAGAGCTGTGAAATAAGATCAGAAAATGCCATCGATCAGTATCTATAAGGCAAAGATATAATAACACTTGGGGTTGGCTGTTTGATCAGGAAAATAGGTTCTAATGGAGGAACACTAACCTGTCTTCCAGATGCTTATTGACATGTGCATTGCTGTTTTTAACCTCAATAAGATATTGATAGTAAGTATGCATGAAAGTTAGGGAGAAATATGGTGCCAGTTATTTAACTACATTTAAATAAATGTTTCATAACCTTTTTTATATTGCAGGTATTTAGCAGCTTGTTTGAGCAGCTTTTAACACAGAGTAAACCAAATGCACAGAACAAAAGGCTGACTGAAGCTCTGGAGAACTTTATGCAATGCATTGTGGATCCTGAGTGGCCTTCCTACATAGCTCGCTGCTTGTTGAACACATTAGAGGAGGTGAACGGAGAGGTAAGATATTCAGCATTTTTACCTGAGGCTTTGTAAACATAATTATGGTCTTTATTGCATCTCATAGGTCAGTAGCCTCCATGTTTCTGGCACGCTTTTGACAATGCCATGCTATCCCAATAATGTACTGGAGTGTCAGCCTGGACTACGGGCTGTGACTGATTTGTGGATGAATGAGAAGTACAGTGGAAATCAAAAAGTTACAAAGATTTATGCAATGTAGAGCGTATCTTGCTCATGTTTGACTCGTCAAATTGCTATTTGAAGCAAACTGATGATGAGAGGAGATTAGCAATATCATAATAAGATGTTTAGTATAAAAAGAAATCTTAAGAGTACGAAAATAGTCCCCAAGCAAATCCTTCAATATTTTAACTCGGTATACATATGGGTTGTAAAAATCTCTTCTGAGCCTTTATTGCAGGTCAATGAGTGAGCACCCAATTATGTTAATTGATCTCCCATTGCTCTTCACTTACAGCAATTAAACTAGTGATTTGGATCATTAGTACAACTATAATCATGATCTAGCCAGTTTCCTGTCATCAGGCTAAATCATGATTATAAATAGAGTAAAGAGTAAATTTGCTGATCTCAGCCGGCTACGCTGCATATCAAGTGGGAAGGAAAAAATATCAACTTGGTTTACTGGCCCTGATCCATTAGCAGTGCGGCCAAATAGACATTTGTGCGCGCATGTATGCACTAACAAACACACCCATGCACACACACATACACACACAGATGTCGGGTTAGAACAGGATGAAATGTGATTTTTCTTTTCTCCTACCCTCCCAATCACCCACTCATACATATGATTAAATTTTCAATTGGATATACTTTGTGGTATGTGCACAGTGGCAATAATTGGCCCTCCATATCAGTCGGTCCATTTTAAACAAAAATGATGACTGAAATGTTATTGTTTAAATTGTTCAGTAAAATGGCACTGGTTCAGCTCCTAGGACAACCAATGATCACCCTGGGTGAATCAGCATTTCCCCCATGGAAGCTTCAAGTGCAATTAATCCACAAAACATCACAACATATTGACCAATGCAATGTTTTATGGCCTTTTGTGAATATAATTGTATTAATTTCTGTGGCTTAGCTGATGATGTCCAAGTTGCGGCCGCTGCTGGAGAGATTTTTAGAGAAAGAGTCTGGAACCTTCAGAAAGGATGAAGCTCTCCTGCTACACATGATCCTGAGAAAGTACAACAAATATTCTGCACCCTTCCTAGCAACGCACATACGTAGTATGAATTTTTTCCTTAGTGCCATGAATAATTCCAAGGAGCTGTATAGAGGACTGCCAACATTGCAGGTCATCGCACTGGGACAGGTACTGTTTGCTGTATCTGAATTGTTCAAGAGAAACATACGTAAATAAATAACTCCAGGAGTTATTGGTCCATCTGCATTACGAGTAAATTTTCTTTTCCTCCAAAGCAAAGTTAGAATTTTGTTTCTGTGCTGCTATGAAAGCAGACACTATGCTTTGTGTCAGTATTCAGTGCAGAGTGATGTTGTCTATGATTACAATGAAGGGCAGGTGTGCTGTTTGTGTGATTTAGGGGCCTTGTGTGTGATTACAGTGAGGGGGTGCTGTGTGTGTGTGATTACAGTGGGGGGGTGCTGTGTGTGTGTGATTACAGTGGGGGGGTGCTGTGTGTGTGTGATTACAGTGGGTGTGCTGTGTGTGTGTGTGTGTGATTACAGTGGGGGGGTGCTGTGTGTGTGTGGTTACAGTGGGGGGGTGCTGTGTGTGTGTGTGTGATTACAGTGGGGGGGTGCTGTGTGTGTGTGTGTGTGTGTGATTACAGTGAGGGGGTGCTGTGTGTGTGTGTGATTACAGTGGGGACTGCTGTGTGTGTGTGATTACAGTGGGGGGTGCTGTGTGTGTGTGTGATTACAGTGGGAGGGTGCTGTGTGTGTGTGTGATTACAGTGAGGGGGTGCTGTGTGTGTGTGATTACAGTGGGGGGGTGCTGTGTGTGTGTGTGTGATTACAGTGGGGGGGTGCTGTGTGTGTGTGTGATTACAGTGGGGGGGTGCTGTGTGTGTGTGTGATTACAGTGAGGGGGTGCTGTGTGTGTGTGTGATTACAGTGGGGGGTGCTGTGTGTGTGTGTGTGATTACAGTGGGGGGGTGCTGTGTGTGTGTGTGTGATTACAGTGGAAGGGGTGCTGTGTGTGTGTGTGATTACAGTGGGGGGGTGCTGTGTGTGTGTGTGTGTGTAATTACAGTGGGGGGGTGCTGTGTGTGTGTGTGATTACAGTGGGAGGGTGCTGTGTGTGTGTGTGATTACAGTGGGGGGGTGCTGTGTGTGTGTGTGATTACAGTGGGGGGGGTGCTGTGTGTGTGTGTGATTACAGTGGGGGGTGCTGTGTGTGTGTGTGATTACAGTGGGGGGTGCTGTGTGTGTGTGTGATTACAGTGGGGGGGGTGCTGTGTGTGTGTGTGATTACAGTGGGGGGGTGCTGTGTGTGTGTGTGATTACAGTGGGGGTGCTGTGTGTGTGTGTGATTACAGTGAGGGTGTGCTGTGTGTGTGTGTGTGTAATTACAGTGAGGGGGTGCTGTGTGTGTGTGATTACAGTGAGGGGGTGCTGTGTGTGTGTGATTACAGTGAGGGGGTGCTGTGTGTGTGTGATTACAGTGGGGGTGCTGTGTGTTGTGTGTGTGTAATTACAGTGAGGGGGTGCTGTGTGTTGTGTGTGGGATAATCATTCTGTGCACTTGTGACCCTAGTCATTTAATGTATTTTGATATTTTGTTTTAAAACAAAATGTGTTTTTTTATGGTTTACAGATCACTAAGGAATTCTTTGCAGCCCTGCCTGATGGGAAGATCCAGCAGAAACTGCTGGGGGTACTTTTTGACTTACTTGTGCAGTGTAAAAACCCAGCATGTGCACAGTTGATAGGCAATGTTTTTAAAGGGGTGAGTAAAGATAGCTTTTCCTGATGAAAACAGATGAAACGTAGGTTCAGAGTGCTGACTGGATTTTAAACCTTTTTTCAGTTTAAAAAAAATAAGGCTTTCATCTACATGTAATATCCCCTCTTAAGTGTGGAACTTGCTGTGGTACTCTCCCACGCCAGGCTTCACACTCCTTGTCCTCTTCCTTGCCTGGCTCCTCGTCCCCAGCAGATTGACTTCAAGATCCTCACCATGACTTTCAAATCACTTCATGCTCTTGTCAGCAATTTCCATTGCCATTCTCCTGCCAGCATCCTCCACTCCTCCAGCTTGGTCCTACTCTACATTCATCACCCATCCCCCCACACCACCATCAGTGGCTGAAATCTAAGCTCCTGCCTTATTGAAGGTCTTTAATCAACAGTCAGCGTCCTCAAATAAATTACATTTTAGATTTGTTGTGATTGATTTGATACAACGTTATTATTTTCAATTGTATGTAGCTCTGAATGCTGTTTGCCCACTTGTTGCAGATCACAGTTGACGCAGAGCAAATTGCCCAGGAGTTTGGATCTTTGCAAAAACCTCAGAGCCAGGCAACTGTTCAGCAGAAGAGGAGGCAGAAAATGCTACAGAGGTATGTCGTTGGGAAAGATTTTCTTCTGTTTCTGTGCTTCATGACCTTTGCTTTTCAGGTTTCCCAAGACGCTACCTCACGTGTAGGGCACTATATAACTAAGTGTTTATTGTTGTACTCTCAAGAGTATTTCCACTCTGTTCTTACAATCTTGTACTATTTCTAGGGAAATATATACAGACTTACTACTTCACTAACACTGGTATTGGTGTGTGTGAGAGAGAGAGAGAGAGAGAGGTGGAGATTGATAGCATTGTAATGTTACAATTGCATTGAGCATTGAAACATCAAACATTGAAACACTAAAAATAGACAGGTTTGTATTCTGCTGGCTAGAATTGCCCCAGAAGTCTTAACATGTAATTCGAATTCCTGTTCTGGTTTCGTGGTGCAAACATTTTATTATCAGGGCAGTGTGTGCCATTCACAAACACGGAATATAATTAGTTTAGGTGCTGAATGGAAAGTCATTTCTGTCACTGATTTACTTGTCACCACTACTATGATGTGTGTGTAAAAATAATTGGACTACGGGGATGAATGGATTGTATTAAAAGCTTTGGCTGGAAATGTCCGATGCTGGCTCAGTGAATTGTTGCTCCATTGTCTCTCACACTGACTTCCTATTCTCAGCCATGTGATGTCAATGGAGGTATGATCAAATTCCCATTGTGCCCCTTACCTCTGGCTTGTATTTTTATTATTATTGTCCCCGCTGTCTATCTTTAATTTCTCACCTTAAAATCTACCTCTTCAACTACGCCTATGGTCAACTCTCTCTCCCCCCAACCCCCACCCCACTTTCTCAGCATCCAACCCCGTCACTGTGCCGCACTCTGAGATGCTATCCTGCGTGAGGAGTGCTATATAAATTCAAGTTGTTGTTTGATGGGCCTGTCAATTCTGGACTTGGCTTTGCTGTAAAAGAAACTCTACCGAATGTGCTGTTCAATTTTGCGGGCTGTTTCTTTTACAGGAAATCACAGGAATTGCAGGGTGCAGAGCCTGTTCCTCCAATAGACAACGTATACTGGCAGCGAGTTACACTCATTTTGGAATTAATGCAGCATAAGAAAAAGCTTAAACGACCTCAGATTCTCATCCCTGCACTCTTCAGCCTCCTCTCCAGGTAATTGGACTACACCGATGAACCATTGATAATTGAAGGCCACAGGTTTGACATATTCTGTCTGAGTGAGCCACGGATCTCAGATGGGATTGGGTTTGGGGGAGGAGGGGATCTTGTAGCTCAGTGGTTAGAGCACTCGCTTTGCAAGCGAGAGACCTGAGTTCAATTCCAGGCAGGGCAAAACCTTGGGCAAGTTTTCTTACTTCACACGCCTAATAATAATCCCTCCAAAACCAAAAACAATAAAAAAATTGGTCATTTTCAATCTACAGCTGTTTGTGGGACATTGCTGTGCGCAATTGGCTGCCGCGTTCGCCCACAAATATACAGTCAATTCACTTTACAGTGTGTTCTGTGAAGCACTTTGGGACGTCCTCCCGATGTGACAAGCGCTATATCAAAATGCAAGGATTATTATTATTATTATCTTCAATCTCATTGGATTGAGGTGGAGACTAATGGTTTCACCATCAGGTGCATGTGCTAACCCAACATCAGATTGTAATTAAGAGATTTATGATGATAAAAGCATCTGTATTGTGTTCTTGACACCTTTGACTTCTCCATTGTGTCCCAAAATCTCTGAACATTTATTGCTATCACTCAGGTGCCTGGATCCCTCATTGTCTGAAGAAGCCAGTTTGGAGTACACAAAGCAGCTACTCCTCAACTGCTTGCTCAACCTCTGCCAGAAACTGTCACCAGACGGCACCAAGATCAGTAAAGGTAGGAAGTTGAAATGGGCTCATACTTGCACCAAATACGATTATTATTTATTATCAATAATAATAATCCTTGCATTTGATTTAGCACATTTCATAATGCAAAGCTAAGTCAATTTGAATGCACTAAGTAGATATGTAAATATCTTTATATTGAAAATCTTGTTAAAATCTATTTTCCCTTGGTATTCAAATCAGTAAATTTATATCACCAAGCCCATCCTTTAGTCCATTTAAAGCAGTTGGTGAAATAATTAAGAACGGAAGGAGGAACAAACAGAATTACTCATTTTGGATTGCATTTAACCTGCAAACAACAAGAAAAACATTATGGCTCCCCATCCCCAGAGGATAATGCCTTTCAGGTCGGGAGGACGTCCCAAGGCGCTGGACAGTCAGGGATTTGGACCCGAGCAGGGGAGGGGGTTGGGATCAGGAGGGGGTGAAGGGCACGGGGTAGGGGTAGGCGGATGACTGAAGGTGCAGTCAAAGAGGAGGGTCTTGAGACATGCCTTGATGGAGGTAAGGGAGGGAGCAAGGAAAAGGGAGCTTGGGATGGAGTTCCAAAGGGTGGGGGCAGAGAAGCTGAAAGCCTAACCACCAATAGTGGGGCAAGAGAACACAAACTTTAGAGTTCTGGATGATCTGCAGCTTGTGGAAGGAAGAGTTGGGGAGGCTGACAAGCAGGCATAGATGTAATGAATGTGTGGATGAGGGTTTTGGCGGCCTGAGGGGTGAGGCAGTGGCGGAGCTGGGCGATGTTGCAGAGGTGGGGGAAGGCAGAGTAAGTCATTGCACGGATGTGGGGTAGAAAGTATAGTTGAGGGCCAAACAAGACACCAAGGTTCCGGATTGGCTTAGTAAGATGGAGTGTGCATCTGTGGATGGTGATGCTGTCAGTGCCTGAGATGTGGAGGCACTGACGAGAGCCAATCAGGAGGGCCTCGGTCTTGTTAGCGTTCAACTGGAGAAAGTTAGCTCTCATCCAGGACTTGATGTCTGACAGACATTCTGTCAGGACAGCAGTGGTCCTGGAGTCGAGGGTGGAGGTAGAGTTGTGTGTCATCCGACATGTGGAAGTTGACCCCATGTCTGCAGATGATATCACCAACAGGGAGCATGTAGATATTAAAGAGGAGGGGACCAAGGACAGAGCCCTGAGGAACACCACATGAGACGGTGCGAGAGCTGGAGGAGAAGCCGTTTGTAGAGACAAAGTGGAGACAGTGTGAAAGGTAGAATCTGAACCAGCCTAGAACAAAAACATGAAGGTTGAGGTGGGAGGAGAAGCGGTGGAGGAGGATAGAGTGGTCCACAGTGTCAAAGGCAGCATTGGGGTGAAGGAGGATGAGGAGACAGAGGGATCCCTGGTCACAGGTGGCAAAATGTCATTTGTCAGTTTGTCCAGGGTTGCTTCTGTGCTGTGGGCAGCACGGACACCCGATTGGAGGGGCTCATAGAGGGAGTGGCGGGAGAGGAAGGAGCAAAGTTGGGAAGCAAAGACTTGTTCTGGGGCTTTGGAAAGGAAAAGGAGGGTGGAGATGGTGTAGTAGTTGGAGAGTACACTTCAGTGCTTATAAGTGCTTGCTGTACAAAATATTCTGAAAGACCTGAAATCCTGATCTGTTATTTCCAGATGTTCTTGATGAAGAGAAGTTCAATGTGGAGCTGATTGTTCAGTGTGTCAGGGGCTCCAATGTACCTCAGACTCACCACCATGCACTATTGCTGCTGGGCACTGCTGCTGGGATATTCCCCGTAAGTGTTGCTCTAGCTAACTTACTTTTAATTGGTTTTGCTTTGCGCATTATTTTGCAGAGCGCATGGTGATCAAAGCCTGCAGAAGGCTTCTATGCAAAACTCTCAACAAGCTCTATCTTTTGGTCCATCCAGAATAATTAATAGACTCAAGGAATTGAAGGAGGAAAGGAGTTACCTAATTTTGGAACTTTAAAAAATATTTGTTCGTGGAATATTTTGTCATCAGTTTTCAGGACTCAACAACTCAATAATCCTGACTGAGGGTAGCGATGTGGGAAACTCCCAAGGGAAAGCAAGTGTCATGTCATTTATAGATTTTCTTTTATAATCTGTGTTTATCCGGGGACAGTTCAACCTGTTTCTGAATAACAATAACCATATTGTTCTATATTATATAGACTGACCTCCCTTCATCATCTCAATATGCCCATCTCCTTGAGTAATCTCTCCTTTCTCTCTCCCCCCACCCCATCCCCCAGTCTGGAACAGCAACAGGAATGCCGCATTCAGAAATGGTGTTTATTTGAATGTACTTCAGGGGAGTTAGCAGAATTCTAATCACTTTGTGAGCCTTCTTTGTGAGAGAAGATTTTGCAGCTCTCTCCTGTTCAGGACTTTGAAGTGAGGTTCATTAAAAAAGATAAGAGTGATACGTTATCGTTTTTCAGCGTGCAGAACTCCACTTTGATGCAGTATTGACTGTTCTAAAAATAATTCCTCTGACCTTTTTATGATTTCTTGCTTGGTTCTGTAGGATAAGGTTCTTCATAATATCATGCCCATTTTTACCTTTATGGGTGCCAATGTGATGCGACTGGACGATAGCTACAGCTTCAAGGTGATAAACAATACAGTAAAGACTGTGATCCCAGCACTCATACAGGTTAGTCAATTTGGGTGGTTTGTTTTTCATGCTCTACGGGTAGGCGGAGACAGGATATTAAGGGGGATTTTAACCTGATCAGATATGCAACTGCTCAATTTGTTGGCTTTAAAAGGAACATTAACAATATTTACATAATTTATATAAGCATTAATATTAATAATACTTGAATTTGACAATGGCCTTTTATGTCAGGAGAATGTCTGAAAGTGCTTATAACATATACTATAAAGTGCAGTAAAGTGTGTATATTTGTTGGCAATCTTTTGAAGTTAAAAATACCAATTTGGTTAAATCACAGGACTTCCAGCAGGAAGCATTTCTTTACATAGAGATTGTTAATCAGCTGGAACAGGTTACCAGGAAGAGTGGTTGAGGCTAAGATTTTTAACTCGTTGAAGAAACGCTTGATACTGTAACAGGATGCTAGGGTGGATATTCTGGAAGGATGACAGCAAATGTCTGAAAGGTCTTTCTTCATCCAAATTTCTCCTGATGTTTAATAAACTGGAAATAAATGTTTAATAAATATTGTTTAATTTTGTTGCCTTTAAAGTTAGTTTTAAAAACAATTGTGCAGCAGAAATGTTTACTCCGAGTTCCCTGAATGAAGGGCATTTTAACATTTTTGCCAAGCAGGCTATTTGATTTATTGTGACCACAAATGTGGAACTTTTGAGTGCAATTCACAGCTTCTGAGTGACTGAGGTGATGACTGCGCTTTTTACTCACTGTGCCTTTATTTTGAATTGGTGATTGCATCTCTTTCAGGCTAATGACGAAGGATCTGTAGAAATCAAAGAGCACGTTAACAAGGTTGTTACAAATATCATCCACGTGTTTGTGGATGCCTTGCCTCACGTGCCTGAGCACCGGCGACTGCCTATCCTATCGCAGCTGATTGATACAGTCAGTGCAGAACGCTTCCTCTGGGTCCTCCTCTTACTTCTGTTTGAGCAGCACGTGACCAAGACTTCTGCACCAGCCAATGGTGATAAGGTTGCATGATCTATTCATTTGCTTTTATTTGTCTTTCTCACCATTTTTCTCCGTTCTCTCCTTTTATAAGAACATAAGAATTAGGAGCAGGAGTAGGCTATTCGGCCCCTCTAGCCTGCCCCGCCCTTCAGTAAGATCATGGCTGATCTATTATAACTCCACCTACCTGCCTTATTCCCATATCCCTTAATCCCTTTATCCACAAGAAATCTATCAATCTCAGTCTTGAATATGTTCAAGGACTGAGGATCTACAGCCCTTTGGGGTAGAGAATTCCATAAATTCACTAACCTTTGAGTGAAGAAGTTTTTCCTCAACTCAGTGCGAAAGGGCTTACCTCTAATTTTAAGACTGACCCCTGGTTATAGTTGCTCCAATCAAGGGAAAAAGTCTCCCACTATCTATTCTGTCGTGCCCCTTTATAATCTTACAGATTTCTATGAGATCAAGGTTGTTATAGTTATTCGGCTCTTATTTATCATCTAGAACTCTGCAGCCCCGTGTCCTCTCCCGCACTAGGCTCCAAAACCCTATCACCTCAACCCTCGCTCAGCTCCATTGGCAACTCGTTCCCCAGCAGATCAGATTCAAGATCTTGATCCTCATATTCAAATCCTTCCAAGGATTTGGCCTTCCCTACCTTTGTGACTTCCTGCAACTCTATCGATCTGGCTGCCCCTTCCATTCAGTGAACACTGACCTGCTTCACTGGCCTGACATTCTGCCACCGCTCTCTGGAACTCCATATCGGGGTCCCTCAGGCTCGCCCCCTCCTCACTTTTAAAGCCCAAATTAAGACTTATCTCTTTGAAAACAAAAAATAAATTGAAAGGAGGTGAGGAAAGGGCCAAATGATTAGTAGTTAAAGCAGTTGTGTGTTAATGATGGCTGCCTGAGAGATCGTTACTCTCTCAATCTAATCGTATTCCATATGGATTCTTGTATCACAGGAAGCTATCTTAGAAAGAGATGTCGAGTTTTGGATCTCCGTTTGCTGTGAATTTGGTGTTCAAGAGCAGCTTCTGAGTCTCATGAATATGCTGCGTTACCTCGCCAAGCTCCCAGAAGACAAAGAAGGTAAGAGAAAAGCGACCTGCCATTCACTTCAGCCATTGTGCAGAGCAAGCACTTGACGTTCTGATACTAATATCCCAATCAGTTTAAAATAAGAAATCTTACACATAGATGTTCTTTCGTTTTTTTTGTCAGCGTGTCTGACACCTGCGGAAACCCATCTTGAGTATCCAAACAAGACTGGGAGTTCCGTGCTTGCCAACTATATGTTAAAATTCTCATGCATGGAATGAAATGGGCCACTCTTCCTAGAGGGGTGCACTTTGTTTGCCTAATTCTGGAGAGTATTAGGCACAAGTTGCATGAGCCAAAGCTTGGTGACCCCAAAGTGTGTATTGAGTCACTGCTGGAGCTTAACCAGTTAAAACTACATAGCTTTCCATTGAAGCACTATCTGGCAAGCTTTCCACTATTTGTTAGACCTTTGCTTTCCAAATTTATCTGGAACTGAGTGGGAAGAATCGCTGTGTCTGTTCTGCCCCTCCAAGTCCTGCCGATGAACCAGGTTGACTGGGCTGTCATCAGCAGTGCCCTGGAGATCCACCTAACTCAGGAACCGGACTACCAAGACCACCACAGAGGACTGACTACTTCAATTCCGACACTCAGTTTCCAAACCTGTGATCTTGGAGCAGGCTCAGCTGTAAGGAGACCCTACTTCCCCCCCTCCCCCCCCAGGTTATCAAGAACGCTCCTATGTATCCTGCATCTCTCAATGTCACCTTAAAGCCCTTCACAAAACGACCTTTGTACTTTTGAATTACTTCTCTAATATGTGACTGCCCATTCCATATCTGCATATCCCTTATTTGAAGAAATGCCTCCTGACCTTAGTTCCTTTTTGTGTTTTCCTATTTGATTTGATTTATTTTAATGTGCTTTTTGTAAAAAAACACTAATAGTTTGCTGCATTGTACCACTGTTGTACTGTGACTGTTCACATACACAGTGTGTCTCCCACCTGTCAGCAAATTTACTAAACTTACAGAAGTGCATGTAGATAAATGGTTAAAACCTTTTGTTGGCTCTCACTATCAAGATCAGTACAGTTACCAGGAAGGGGAAAATAACTCTTAGTGTGCTGTTCTCTGAGATTGTATACTTCAATCGATTTCTATTCCTAACAGACGAGGGACCTGGGAATAGGAGGTCATCCAAGACCAGAATGAAGAAGCCAGGTGAAGCTGAGCTACTCTTCAACGTGGAAACTCACAGCGCAAAACAACTGCGGCATTTCAAGTTTCTTTCAGTCTCATTTATGGTTCAGCTACTTGCTTCCAACAGCTTTGTGGGAAAGGTAATTAAAATCATGCAATGCCTCCACATCAGTTTAGCCAGAATTATTGTTTGTGAAGAATAGGTCATGTATCTGAGGTGCAGAACGTGTTTTACTTAGCCTTGGTAAACTACTATTTGGTCTAGTTTCTTGAACTGAATAGAGAATAATTTATCTTGCTCCTAGAATACGAATGACCTCATCCATAACAGTATTGTAGCAAATAATCTAATGTCTGCCAACCCAAAGTGAGGTCTATTACAAGGCATTGCATGTTGCTCTGAATGTGCAATGTGGCCTATTCTGTTTATAATGCAGAATTTCTGTCATGTCTCATAACCAACTCATGATGATGACCTTGCACCTTTAAAGCAGTTTTTTTTAACAAAAAAACTCCTCAAATCAAAATTATCCTTTGAAGAGGAGCATTCCCAATACATCCCCTTCCCAGTGGAAATGATTTTCCATTCAAGGTAGCTTGTCTCATTAGTAGTTTGGGCTTTGACTGCATCCAACTTCATTTATTTATTTAAGTTTCTGATTTAGGTTGTGTTATCAAGTCTCTTCAGGAATTAAACTGACCCGAAAGAGACTTATTTTATGATCTAGAAGTGTGATCTGTTGATATTTGAACATCCATTGCTGACTGATTTCATTGCTTTTATCATTAGGTTGCAGAATCTGATGAATGTGAACATGAAACCTTGCAGAAACTGGAACAAAGGTAACGACGTCTTAAGGGTGTTGATTAAACTATCACATTATTTAATGACTAGTGCTTCCAATGCTGCAAACTGTGTATCAACAGATTTATAATGCGCATTCATTATTTGAGATAACCTTTTTCCAGATTAGGCCATCGTAACCCGGTACATCAATCCTATTGTTTTACTGTTAGAACAAATAATCACATCCTCCAGCATACCCAACCCCTACCACCTTTCCATTATAGCAACCAGCTGTTTTACACACAAGTCTAGTTTCCTGACTTCAGCTGCCCTTCTTTGTAACCCATTCCAGCTGTTTTCTGGCAGTGAGTACTGTGGTATTTGCCATGTTCTGTCTTACCTGTGTTTAAAAAAAAAAAGTGAATTAAATCACTGGTGGGCTTGAAGGAGAGGCCTGACTGAGCTGGCAGCTAGTTTATAATACATATGCTTGGAAAAATGAATGTGTGCATTATCTAATTAAAAAGACATCCAGTTGCATTAATTTCAGATATTTATTGCCAAAGTGTTTTACAGTAATTTCTTCCAAGATAAATTCAGTCCTGTTCACCTTTGTGGCACAGTTATTCGTTATAATTTATCGGTATTCTTTCCTAGCTTGCTGGAAGAGATTCTGTGCTACATTAACGTAGTTGCCCGTTGTGTGGAGGAGAATGCAGAGAAACCAACAGCTAAATTCTGGAGATCTCTACTCAACCGCTCATACGATGTCTTGGATAAAGTATGTTTGCAATGGAACCGAACAGTTATCAGCTTACTCCCTCGCTCTGTCAATCGGTCGTTCTTTGTATACAAGTGATGCACTCTGCGGCCAAATGGCAAAACTCCAAAAGAAGAGTGCGCTTGTTAATATCATTCCTGTTTGTAGAAGATGCTAGAATCACAGAATCGTAGAAATTTGCAGAGCAGAGAGAGGCCATTCAGCCCATACAGTCTGTACCAGCTCTCAGAGAAAGATGTTCATTCAATCCTATTGCCCTGCCTTATCCCCATCCCCATATCCCTTCAAGTCTTTATCTTTCATACACCTGTCTACTTCCCTCATGAAACCCATAATGGATGTTGGGATATGGAATTCTCTGCGTCTACCACTTGGCAGGGGATTCCACATCCCAACAACTCTTAAGTGAACTTTGTTCTTCTGAGCTTTCATTTTGCTCTTGTAGCTATCTTGTAATTGTGGCCCCAAATCACTGATCCAAGCCAATGGAATTTTTCAGCTCATTTTCATTCACCAATCCCATGTTCTGACAAAGCATTGTGGATTGTAAAATTATTGATTTGTTTCATTCATGGAATATACCTGGAGAATTTGTAGCCTTCTATAAATATGAGCAGTAAATTCTGCCCAACAACAGTAGGTTTGCTGATAATTTTCTGCTTGTCTGTTAAAATAATATACAAATTTGAATTTATTATACAAGTTATGGGAAAAGTGTAAAAGAGGCAGAATTTCCCATAGTACTTCTGCCACAATATCATCTGGTCATGGAGGGCATGCAAAATGCACTGTAATATTTAAAAATGAGAATACGTTCTTATCTGGAAACATTTATTGCAGTGAACCAGCGCTTCAGGCTCCCTCCAAAACAAAACAATAATGAATTGGTTATTTTCAATCCACGACTGTTTGTGGGACACTGCTGTGCGCAATTGGCTGCTGCGTTTTGCCCACAAAATATACTATCAATTCACTTTACAGCATATTCTGTGAAGCGCTTTGAGACGTCTAGAAGACGTGAAAAGCGCTATATCAAATGCAAGGATTACTATTATTATTTGGACAGTTGCACCATGGTTTATGGTCAGTGGGTTTGTGGAGTCCTGTAGCTCAGTGGTTAGAGCACTCGCTTTGCACGTGAGAGACCTGAGTTCAATTCCAGGCAGAGGGCGAAACCTTGGGCAAGTTTCCTTACTCCACACAGAGCCTAATAATAATCCCTCCAAAAACCAAAAACAATAATAAAAATTGGTCATTTTCAATCTACAACTGTTTGTGGGACATTGCTGTGCGCAATTGGCTGCCGCGTTCGCCCACAAATATACAGTCAATTCACTTTACAGTGTGTTCTGTGAAGCGCTTTGGGACGTCCTCCCGATGTGAAAAGCGCTATATCAAATGCAAGGATTATTATTATTGTTAAAAGCTACCACAATTGATATGCCTTGGAACCATTCCAAAACTGGGACCTCCTAAACTGTAGGCTTAGTGCTACATCAAGCTGTGTCTTCACCCACTCGGCTGGCGGTGGAGCTCTGAAGGATTTTCTTAAACCATTATTGGTACCACAACCGAAAGCTGTGAGGCACCCCAGTGCTGTTTACAAACGAGAGGCAAACTATGATTGTAAATTTGATGCATAGTAAGTTTGGCATAATTGTCATTTGAAAAGGGTATATTCATGAAATAATCTGGTTAACCACTTTTTACCCTTTTTAATACAGGTGAATGCCCTACTTCCCACAGAAACATTCATTCCAGTGATCAGAGGGCTCATGAGCAATCCCTTACCCTCAGTTAGACGCAAAGCTATGGATCTCCTCAATAACAAACTACAGCAACACAAGACAGCCTGGCAGGATCATCAGGTGAGACCTTCCTTCTGGTCTTGCCTTCATCCATACCTCACACCCACAGCAGCCAAAACTCTCGTCGACACCCTTGTGAATTCCTGGCTGGACTATTTCAATACTCTCCTCACTGGTCTCCCCAGTTACCCCATACAAAAAATTCAATTAATTCAGAACTCCGCCGCCTGGATATTCACCCGCACAAAATTCTGTACCCCATCACACCAGTTCTTGCCAGGCTCCACTTCCCCCAAATACCGAATGGATCGACTTCAGGATCCTCTCATCCGTTTTCAAATCCCTTCATGCCTTCGCACCTCCCTACCTATCCCAATTTGTTTACCCCCCCACTCCACGAACCGCTGCCTCCGCTCAATCAGCTCCTGCCTCCTGTTCGTCCCTTGCCCCTTTCAGCTACTACGCCCCGAAACTCTGGAACTCTCCCTCAACCTTGCCCCTCCCTCCCCACTTTCAAATCCTGCCTAAAGACCTTCCCTTTTGATCTTTCTTACAGTCACCTCCCTCTCCCTCTGGCTCGGGGTCAGACTCCGCACTGTCATGCACTCCAGGACGTTGCCCCACTTGAAGGGTGCTTTGCAAATGCAAGTTGCTTTTTAAAATGTTAGTTAAAAGGGTCAGAAATCTGCCATTATTTACCTAAATTTATTTCAGCGATTCAGAGAAATGAATTTTCAGGATTTAAATGCAGTAAAACTCGCATAAGTCTTATCTTTATAATTCCTAATCACTTAAGTTGTACATCCACCCGAGTTCCATTCAGTTTCCTATCAAAACCATTTAGATTTCCTTTCACCTAGTCGTATTTATCACCTCCAAATGCCACACCCGTATCTTCCATTACTCCCGCACTACCCGCTGCCTTGAATCACGGAAAATGACTAACCCGTCGACGCATACACACTTACCAGCTGCATTGAATTACGCATGTGCAGTGTAGATTATTGATTAAATCGGATTTTATGCAACTTATACAGTTTGCCTGCAACTTGGACTTCACTTAAGACATAGTAAATGTTATGGTCCCGACTGATACAACTTATGTGAGTTTTAGTGTATAATTGATTCAGAGAACAGTGTTGGCAGAGGTCTGAGATGTAGCTTGCCTTAGATGACAGCCTGGCTTAGTTGGTAGCATTCTCGCATCTGGGTCAGAAGGTTGTGTTCAATGCGCACATTTGAGTTAATCGTCACAGCTGCAACACAGTAGCACTGCATTGTCAGAAATGCTATTGAAAAAGGAGGTTGTCTTCCCTCACTAACACTGGCCTGCTTCAGGCCCTCACCCTGTGTGCCCCTTAATCGGACTTTCTGCCCACTCCCCCCACCCCCACCACTGGAATTCCATCTCCTTGCCCCTTCTCTCAATTCTTTCAACCTCTGTCTCAAGTCCTTCCTCTTTGACCGAGACTTCAGTCATCTTCCCACCCCTACCCCACTTGGCCCACCGCTCCCTCTCATGCCCAACCCCCAGTTTGGGTGCAAATCCTTGACTCTCCAGCACCTTGGGATGTCCTCCTGATGTGATACATAATTGCAATTTGTTGTTGTTGTCTTGGCTGAAAATCCTGTGTGTTTTGTATGCTTGTGTGTCTAATGTAATATTTAAAGCCAGTTGTTTCTTCAACAGGTGACATTGCTTCTGAACCTGATTGAGGATCTTCTATCCATTGTGAGTAGTAAGGAAAAGGAGGAAGAGGAGCAAGCTGTGAACAGGCAGACGGCACTCTACAGCTTGAAGCTACTGTGCAAGTGCTTCGGTACTAATCAGCAAAATCCATTTGTGCCTGTGCTGACGACAGCCGTTGACCTGATCACAGGTGATAGTGAGGAGGAAAGAAACGTGCTGGCAAGTGCATTGCTCTGTGTAGCTGAAGTTACCTCTGCACTCAAAGCATTAGCAATACCACAGCTTCCAAGGTATGGAGTCTTAGCAGTAGCAACTGCATTGTGTGTTTACTTTATAATGACCGTTGAGAGCATTTAAGGCAGGATTTGTTATTAACAGGCTGATATCAGAAGGTTTGTTGTTTGCAGGCTGATATAAGATTGGGTTTGTGCTTTGCAGGCTAATGCCAGGGCTGTTGAAGATGTTGAGAAACCACAAGGCCCTGCTGTCCAATGAGATTTATTTGCTGAGTGCTGTTGCAGCCTTGCAGAAAGTTACAGAAACGTTACCTCACTTCATTAGTCCCTACCTGCTGGGCATTCTGACACAAGTGAGTGCAGTGCAAAATAAAAAAATAAAGAAGTAAAAGCCCTGAGACCTGTTTTAAAATGTGTTGTTGTTGTATTCACTATCTGGTTAGATTCATTTATGTTAAAATACATTTGTGTTTTTCGTGAAGATCACCTGCTTGACACAGATTGCTTCCAGGCCAAGCCACTCCTCACAACTCAACCTACGACTCACATCTCTCCGCACCACCCTAGCCACGAAGCTCGCTCCTCGGGTTCTGTTGCCTGCAGTTAGTAAATGTTACAATAAACTTGTTGACACTAATCAGGTTGGTGTTATTTATCTACCGCGGTAGCTTTTTTTTCTACTGGAGACAGTTAATGGAAAATTTCAGAAGCCTGGAAGTGACCCACTTCTTGTTTTTGGTATTATAAATTGGAGGATTATGAAAACCAAGTTCTAGTTGAGTGCCATTGTTAAACTTTTAGTTATTGTGAATCTGGTCTAATGTCTACAACTGTATATGGACATGGAGCATCCATTTAAAAGTTTGCAGTTTTCTTTGTTCAAATGCTCTCAACGACTGCAGTATTAGTTAAGTATTCTTCTGTAATTGTATTTTGCAATCCGTGCAAATCATTTTACCTGGAATGATGCAGGAAAAACTACCCTTCCTGCCATCCTACACACCATTTTCAAGGAGATCAAGAAATTCTTGTTATGAAACCTTAAATGCAATGAGTTTATTGTGTCTCCTATTTAAGAGAATGGGATTTGATGTGGGGTACCTGCCATTATTACCTGGTTAGTTACGTTTTTAATTTTTTTTACACTTTTTAATTGTTTCTTCATCCTAACCCTATGCAAGACTCCAGGGTAGCTTGGGGGAAAGTGCTGCAAGGGTTGACAGGCGATGTGCTTGAGTAATGTATCTTCCTGCTCCCTTAACCTTGGGACGTCCTCCTGACGTGAAAGGCGCTCTATAAATGGAATCTTGTTGTTGTTGTTGTTGTTGTTGTAACCTGTCATCTTATGAAACCTTATTATAAATCCAGGAAGGAGGTTCAGCCCATCGGAGCACCCATGCCTTCGGTCATGTTTCCTCCTCCATCCCCTTGCCCTCCACCCTTTTCTGATCCCAACTTGCAGCTCAGATGCAAACCCCTCATTGTCCAGCACCTTAGACCGTCCTCCCAATGTGAAAGACACTTTATAAATGCAATTTGTTGTTGTTATTGTTATCCAATAAAAACTATGCAAGGGTTTTCATACATGTGAGAAAAACATTCTAATTTATCTGCACGGTTCTGTGTTCCAGAACTGTTTGGGTCCACTCATGCTTATCCTCAAGGAAAACATCAGTCACATGGAAAAGGAACAACTGAACTCCCATCAGTCTGAGCTTACGTCATTCTTCCTCAAAGCCCTGGATTTCAGAGCAGATCATTTGGAGGTACCACACACCCAACTGAATGATCTGAGTTTTATTTTCAAACAGTGGATCTGAAAATGTATAGAAGAATTTATTCTCTTCAAGTGATTTTTATTTTCGTTTCGCAATTCCTATATTACACATTCTTATGTTCCTGTATCTACCAGATCTAAGTCCCATGCCTTTTTTTTGGAAAGATGTTACAGGAGTTGTTAAATGTATGCAGTAATTGCTGCATTTAATGGAGGTGCCCTCTTTTAAATGAATGTTAAATCAAAGTCCCGTCTGCTGTTCAGGTGGATGTGAATAAGCTGTTGGTGGAAGAAAATTGCATATCCTAGCCAGCAAACTTCCAGAAATCATTTACTTCATGGCTGTTTGTGGTATCTTGCTGTACGCAAATTGGCGCACAGCAAGTATTGGCTCCAAATAGTTATTTATTATTGCTGCTTACAACACAAGGTTAAATATATTTTCTTTTTCTATTTCTGAAACAAATGTGTAAGAGTGATTTGTTTCTTCCCCAACGCACAGGTTGACTTGGATAAAGTGAGTGAAATTGAGGGTCACATCATTAACTGCCTCATCGTTATGGTGATGAAACTTTCAGAGATTACGTTCAGGCCTCTGTTCTTCAAGGTATGTGTTGATGTCACAGCATTAGCTTGTCTTCAGATAACTTTCCATTGAATGGTCCCCTAACATTTGGCTTGCTTCTGATCAGCTCTTCGACTGGTCCAAGTCAGAAGGACAGCCCAAGGATCGAATGATCACATTCAGCCGTTTAGCAGACTGCATCGCAGACAAGCTGAAAGGATTGTTCACCTTGTTTGCTGGAAACTTAGTGAAACCTTTCGCTGACATTCTGAACCAGACAAATTCGGTCAAGACTGGTAAGATTTTTTTAATTTGAGATTATAAAGTTACCAACTCCACTGTGTAAATTTATGGGCTTGGCACAAAAATTGCCAGAGAGCCCATTGGACATCAACAATAACAATTTGCATGTATATACTACCCTTCACAGAGGTTAGCATTCCAGAGCCCTTGACAGTGGCGGAGTACAACTCCGAGCCAGGGGGAGGTGACTGTAGATGCTGTGGTGCAATTTATGCCTGAATTTTTTCAACAAAAATTAAACCTTCATCGAATTGCACAATGAATTGCTGCAAGTTCCAAAATGTTTTGTTTTTCCAACACAGATGAAGCTTTCTTTGACTCCAAATGGAATACAGAAAAATCATGCTTACTGCTTCAATTTGTCATCAACTGCCTGCACAAAATTTTCCTGTATGACACTCATCGATTTGTCAGCAAGGAAAGAGCTGATGCTCTTATGATGCCCTTAGTTGATCAGGTTTGTAACATACTGCTTTAGCACTTGTCACTTTCTGCAGTCATTAGATAAACATTTCATCAATTTAAAAGATGTCTCTATTTTGTAGCCATGCTGAAGGTTTTCAATGTGACACTGAGATGATATGAAGAGACCAGACTTGTAAAGCAAAAAATTTAATCTGGATTTACTCTACTTTCTTATGTTTTTAGAGTGTCCAGGATTTGGCAAATTACTGTATTCAGTCTTAACTTTGAAGCATTTTCTTCTATATTTCTTAAAATTAATTTACAGAAAAACAGCTTCAAACCAGGTTAAGCTGTATGTTATGAATTTGCCAAATTGTAGGAACTCTGAAGTGGCTGAACTCTTAGACTAAGTTTAGAGTTGGGTGGAATTTCTCACCTCTGGTTTATTGTTCTCTTTTTCTTGTTATTGTCTTGTTGCACACTGCAGGCTGTGCACCATTTCATGCCTAGACATCTGAAAGAGTGTTATTTTACATCTTATCAATGGGTTCCCATTATACTACAGTGATGCACATGTATTTCACATCTTTCAATGCTAAATGTGCTTAAGTATAAATTGTATAATTGTGCATAACTTGCATGGGTTTGTGCTTTTCATATACTGCAAGCTCCGTATTGTTGCAGTGTAACCAGAACAATTGCATAGCTGCATTTGAAAACTAGAAATAGACTTCAGATGTTACACATTTGTGGGTTAACATTTGCAGATTATCTCTGCATCAACCTCAGGAACCAGAGCAGTGACTGATCCTCTTGTAGAAGTGCCATGTGAGTGGATTTGAAAACAATGAGCAGATGACCAAAATAGCATTTTAATGATGTATATTCCAAGGTGATCATTTTGAAGTGGGTTTAGGCATCTTGTAATCCACACAAGTTTTAGGACAGCCTCATAATAATGCCATTCTTTTATATACGTTATTAGATACATTTGAATATGCTGATGACAGTTCATCCAATCTGGCTCATCGGCAGGACTTGGAAGAGCAGACCAGTCACCAGGGAATTCTTTCTCTCAGCTCCTGTTAACTCTGTTAACGGGTTGGGTGGTCCAAGCTGGACAACAGTGGGGAAGCTTGCTAGAGATTGCCATCAATGGCAAGCTACGCAGTTTTAGCTGGTTAGGACTCCAGTAATACCCCAACACATACTCTGGAATCCCCAGCTGTGACTTCTGTCAACCTACGGCTAATATTTTCCAAAATTAGGTAAACGGGATGCGTCCCTCCAGGGAGAGAGTGTGCATTCCATTCCAACAATCTATCCAGGTGTAGGTGGGATGCATGGAATTCTCATCATGGTTTGGATACTCTTAAGCATGGCGATTGGTTTCCGCATGCGTCATAAAACTAATAAAACTAAATATTTGAATATCAAGTGCATCTAATATATATAAAATGCAAGGATTATTATTATTATATAAAAGAATGGCACAAAAGGATACTGTTATCTAAGTGTTGTGCTCTAAAATCCTGTGATGTTTTTGCAGCTGGAGAATATGCTGGGAGGGGAAGAAAAGTACAAGGAAAGAGTGGTCACTCATGTTATCCCATGTGTCGCTCAGTTTTCTGTTGCCCTTGGTGATGATTCTCTGTGGAAACCACTGAATTATCAGATACTGTTAAAGACCAGGGACAGTTTGGCAAAGGTAGGTACCTTGGATGTGTGGTAATTAAATCCTGCATGTTAAAAACAATGTTGAGACATGTTTAAATGTGTATTGGCCAACAATCCCCAAAATAAAATTGGTCACATTCCACGGCCATTTGTGGGCAAATTTGCTGCAGCATTCACCCACCAAACACACAGTAACTGCATTTTTCAGTTTAACCTGTGAAGTGCTTTAAGATGTCCTGGAGTGAAAGGTGCTTTATCAAATGTAAGGATTATTATTACATGGCTGCTGTATTAGCCATAAATATTGTGGAGTCCTGTAGCTCAGTGGTTAGAGCACTCGCTATGCAAGCGAGAGACCTGAGTTCAATTCCAGGCAGAGGGCGAAACCTTGGGCAAGTTTCCTTACTCCACACAGAGCCTAATAATAATCCCTCCAAAACCAAAAACAATAATAAATTGGTCATTTTCAATCTACGACTGTTTGTGGGACATTGCTGTGCGCAATTGGCTGCCGCATTCGCCCACAAATATACAGTTAATTCACTTTACAGTGTGTTCTGTGAAGCGCTTTGGGACGTCCTCCGGACGTGAAAAGCGCTATATCAAATGCAAGGATTATTATTATATTGAGTCAAACTGATGACTTTTGAGACTTGTTAATTGATTGAAGTTGCCAGGACTCCAGAGGTTTGACTTGGATCAAGAAAGGATAGGCAATGGTTCCAGAAACACATTAACTGTAATGAGTCTTATAGAAAAATCCATCTTAGAAAAGGGATTAAAAAAAACATTTAATTTAACTAATGTTTTGAGAATGGGTCTCAATTGTTCGATCAAGAAAAGGCTCTGAAGTCACCCACAAAGATAGTTATTACATTTTACAGCAGTACTTTGAGGCATCTTTCCACTGAAATACGCTATATCAATGTATGTAAAGATTATTAATTTATTAAGACCCTAAAGTACATGTATTTGATGTGTAGGTGAGGTTTTCTGCTCTGCTTATGCTGTTGGAATTAGCCAGTAAATTGAAGGAGAACTACATGCTCCTATTACCAGAAGCCATCCCATTCCTGGCAGAGCTGCTGGAAGGTAAGATAATAAATTGGATTCAAATCATTCATTTTTTTGCAAATCTTTTGTGGTTGAGGATACATTCAATTATTGCTTCTGTGAAACACTGTGATACCCGTGTCTTTCAGCTATTTTGGGAGCATTTATAATATTTAAATAGGCAAAATTAATATATTCCCTGGAGGCTTCATGCTATGTGGTACTAAATAATATAGTGCAGGAAGACCTGTGACACAGAAATCCAACACAGATTAGCATTGATCACTGGTCTGTGCTGGGTTTCTGTTACACACAAGAGGTTCACTCTACTTTTCTAGAGAGGAACTCTTCCTGCTTCAAGTAAATGAGTGTGTGGGGGGGGAGGAATTCAATCATGTAAGGTGCATTACTTGAATAAGCAGCTGAGCATTTGTTATGTTGACAAAAGGTAAGGGTACGTCTTTCACAGGAGTTGTAAAACTTGCCCTTTGTGTTCCAGATGAATCTGAAGAAGTGGAGAACCAATGCCAGAAAGTTATTCAGCAACTCGAGGTCATACTGGGAGAGCCACTGCAGAGCTATTTTTGAAACATCAAGTCACACAATTGTTCATAACAATATTGTTATATATAGATCTTCAATGCAGATTTCTGATTTCTTTTGGAATTTTGAATGTAAGTGTTTTCCGCAAATGTTAATTAACATCACAGGTGTGATTTGAGCAGACAGATTCTTATCTCACTTGTGGTAAAAGAACTGAATGCCAGCAGGTTGGGCATCTAAAATCTGGACAATGTTTATATGTCGTAATCAAGTGATTTGACTTGTTTTAGGCACTATGTGGGCTTTAGTTTGGAGGCATCTGTAAAGCTCCCAAATAGCTCTTTTACTGCATCGACCAACATTTGGTTTCCCTTTGAAAATTCTGCTAAAGGAATCAACATTTAATAAATGAATCAGAAACCACTATTGTTTGAATGCATTGCATTAATTTCATCGGTAAGTCATTTAACTGTTTCTCAAAACCGATAATGGTCTAGTTTAATGACTAAACAGCTGAGTAACTTAATTCCCAAGACAATTGGTGTATTTTCAGATTAACCAGAGGGGGAGGGGAAAGATAGCCAAAATCACCTTGAAGTATTTTTCTCAAAAGTTATTGAATTTTAAATCTTGCTAACCAGAGTTTGTTGGTGCATTACAATTACTCTGTACGATTGTACTTTAAAATGCCAACAGCGCTGTGCCTTTGAAATCTGGAATGGGTCAGCCTTTAACCTCTTAACTCTCTCCCAACTTGGAGTTACATTGTACAGAATCATCAGTTATGTCCTCAATCACCCAGCTGCAAGCTAGGATTTAAATCTGTGATTTTGCCACCTTTTTCTTAGTAACACACAATGATCAACATATGACCCCAATGGAAGTAAAATAACAATTTATATCAAGACTTTCACACACTGGCATTGCCAAATAAAATTAGTACAACCTTGAATCAATACAAAATGGAAGTGGAATTTTATTGCTGTATTAAATTTGATACATCACAGCTTTAGACCAAGTTTTCAAAAACAAAGCATAATTCAATTCTGAAGAATAAATAGAGAATATAATCCTTAGTCGCCAAGAATTTAAATCTATTTAATGTATTCATTCCAAACCATGTCGTTATGAGACCGATTCAGTGCAACTGGGTTCCAGTCCTTGCACAACTAAACACAAGCTATGGAGAATATTGTTAGGGTAAACGTAAGGATTCATTACCCAAAAAAGTAAAAATGTACTCAACTGAGTTTACATTCAACTTTTATATCTAACTTCATTTTTATGGAACACTTATGGAAGCCATCATATACATTATCGTTAAATCCTGCACAATACTTGCCATTAAACTGCAGGTTTTAGCATAGGGGCTTAAAACCCAGTCTTCCACAGCTTTAGCAGCTGAAGAAAGTTAAGTCAGAAATACAAAGTGAATAAGTGACTTTTTAAAAATTATTTTATTGCAGGCAAGGAAATAAATTCTTTTCAGGGGTTCTTGGTTTGAGATCAACGTGGAATTTCATATAGATTCCAGCCATTTGAAATGCTAGCTATTAAGACATTGCGTAAGTATCAACCGTGTGCAATTAAATACAAAATTAATATTTTTTGAAGGATTGAATTCTAGTTGTATAATATAACTAAAGGACTGTATGTCGGTTATATATTTGAAATAGGTGGGTTTACAGAAGGATAAGAAAGAGGTTCTATGGAAATATAAACAATCTTCTAAATTCCTTTCCTGAAATTCAAATTAGATAAATAACTCCAGAAACACAAGCCACGCTCGATCTTCAAACATCAAGCAACAGTCCATACACAATTTGCTGCATGATTGCGATACAATCTTTCTATAAAGAAATAGAATTGTGACAGGGTTATGCTCCTAGTGTTAGCTTTGCACAAATGTCAATTGTAGACCACAGCCTCAGTTCACCTACCAAGTCTGTACATCCAGCAGCTCGACATCACCATCTATCTCCAAAGTATCAATCTTACTTAGGTTGGTAAAACGGTATTTGTATTCCAATAAGTGCTCCCCGTTGACAGCAACCTTGAAGCAGTCTTCACCACAATAAATGATAACCTGTGGAATTATGGAACACAAATGATCAAAGTTACTAAACTCATCACTGGATGTCTTAACTAAACCATTAATTTCCCTTCTATTTGTCAGTATAAACACTGGTGATTTCTGGTTGCTTTCCACTTCTAGGTAGTCTACCCACATGGTAAGTTTCCTAACACTGAAAACCAACAACTCAAGTCTTACCTGTTATTGCTGCTGAACAGTAGCAGCCAAAATGAGTTCCCACCATCTTAAGTGGTTGAAATCAATCCACTCTTCCTGCAGAGATATTTGCACTACTATTTACTTTTACACAACTTACTCCAGAAACCATGAAAACCTTTTGATGGCACTGGACCTCTTCTTACCTCAAAGTATGCACTTGGGCTAAATGGGAAGCAATCTATTTTTAGCTCCTCTTCACCCCAACACTGATGAAGGAATGAGTTTCGAACAAAGGCTTTCTCTTTGAAGTTAGGCTTCAGGTGCAGCGGAATGTCTGTAGACTCACTCAATCGCAGGTTGATGGCAATCCTGACAACAAAAGATTCAGTTACATGTACAATAAAAGTTGGCTTCAACAATTCTTGCTCCTGCACCACCAGTACTTGGTTAGGGCAGGATATGAATTGATCAGTTACCTAAACGTTAGGTTCATTTAAAGTTTATTGCAAAACAACTGGGTCATGGAGGTTTCCCCAACACTATTGGGACTACCTGAAGTAAAACAAAGAATCAGGAGAAATTTACAATTTATTCATTCACAAAAATTAAAGAGTATTTTCTCTGTTGAAACAACCAATACATGGAGTTTGGATTCCACATTAATGTACCAAGAATTATTGATTTGTTTTATTGACTCATAAAGTTTTGGTATGATCTTGGGCCATCGTGTATTTCATACTTTACATGAGATGTTAAACCAAGGTCCCATCTGCCTGCACAGGTGAACTTCAAAGATCCCAAGGCACAACTCAAAAAGAGAAGCAAGTTTCTCCCAGTGTCCTGGCCAACAACCTGCCAGACATGTTATTCACTTCCCGCAATGCCTACAAATCCAGTCATTGCACTCAACAACACTTACTTGTGAAGTGCTTGGACTTTTCAAAGTTATTAGCACTACATCAGACGCAAGAATACTTTTCATAGCTCCTTATCAAGGTGATAAGCACCTTGGGACATCTTCCCGACATGAAAGTTGCTTTACAAATGTAATTTTGTTAATGCCTCAAAGTGCTTTACAGATAATTAGTGTAGATTTACAACAACAAAATTACATTTGTAAAGAGCCTTTCACGTCGGGGGGACATCCCAAGGCGCTGGACAGACAAAGTTTCAGACCCGAGCTGAGGGTCGGGAGGGTGGAGGACGGGGGGATGCAGGGAGATCGAAAGTACGGTCTTGAGATGGGTCTTGAAAGTGGCATGGGTAGGGGGCAAGGCAGAGGGACTGCAGGATGGAGTTCTAAAGGATGGGGGCAGAGTGACAGAAGGCCCGCCCTCCAATAGTGGGGCGAGCAAGGCGGGGGACGTGAAGCAGGCCGGACCGCTGAGCGGAGGGAGCGAACAGGATAGTAGGGGGTTAAGAGGTCACAGAGGTAGGGGGGAGCAAGACCGTGGAAGGCTTTGAAGGTGACAACCAGGATCTTGAACTACTTCCGCTGTAATGGGAAAGCCAGTGGGGTCGGGCCAGGATGGGGGTGATAGGGTTGCGGAGCTTAGTGCAGGAGAGGACTCAACGCTGCAGATTTCTGGATGTCTGCAGCCTATGGAGGGAGGAGTTGGGGAAGCCGACAAGCACTGAGTTTGCATAGTCGAGCATCGATGTAATGAATGTACCTGGAGTTTGTGGTGATGACTGCCATACTATTCCCCACATTCATGGGTAGGGCTGCAGATTTTTCACAGCATTTTTTCAAAATAAAAAATCACAGAAACTAAGTGAGTTTTGGCACCCCCATTTAAGTCATGCTATAAGGTTCAATGCACTTTACTGAAGAACATCATTCCTTTCAGAATTAACTCACTTGGTTGGATTCTTATCAACTCTGCCCTGAATAGTGATTATCCGTCCAGAACTTAGTCCATCCTTCAGTTTACCCATGTAAGGAACCATCTAAATAAAACCAAAGACATAGGTAGTCATCAAATATGAAATTATGGTTTATCTCTAGATTATGGGTTAGCAGCAAGTGTTCAACTGTTGACAATAAAAAATTGAAGCTTTTAATCAGAACATTGCAATTTGGATTTTTTTTTAACCTGGATGCCAAAGTTCTCATTGACCAAGCACTGATAATGGTTTTAATATATTCTACCTCTAGTTTGAATTAGTGATACTATTTATAAATGGAGTAGGGTTACATTTTACAGGATGCTATTTTGTTGATGCTGGAGTAGCTATTAGTGTAAAATTAGTATTTGGTAAGTATCACGGTAGATGAAGTGAAAATATCCAGAATCAATTAATTGGAGGATTTGATCAAAGATTTATTGTCTGAAGACCCAACAGTGTTTCCTTGAAAGAAGTGCCATGGAAGTCACATCCTGCCCTAATAGAAAGTGACTTCAGTGGTGACCTGGTGACTCAGCCATTTTCTTCAGTGTCCCTAGTCTGGACAAGAAAATTGAACTTTGGGTCTCCACGGGTGTCAGAGTCAGACAATTTTCAGGCCTTGCATATGGCACAACCTGCAAAATACTGGACCTAGCCCCCTATAATGGGCTCCCTGTATTTAATATTTAAGAACACATGTCCAAGATTTCTAATATAGTGGAGTTTTGTGCTCATTTCTTCCCAACAGTTCACCTATTCACATATTGTGGGATGCAGTCCACAGGCAGTAGGTATCCCATCAACTCACTGAAGTGGCCATTCTGTCTACAAAAGTCTGGACGGTCCCTTCTAGAAAGCTGTTTGACATACAGGAATTATTACAGTTGAATTTATTTCTGTCTACACCCAAACATCGATGCACACATACAATCAGAATTGGAAACCCATGGTTCAGACTGGAAACTGGAGGCTCACTTCTTTCTTGGTGGAGTCAGTCAGCACAGGCCAGTCTCAGGTCACAGCACCAACAACTGTTTCTCACATTTGCTGTAGTTTGGCAGATGATTTCAACAAAAGAAACTCTGTGCAGTACAGATTGAGCAGCAAACGCTGTAAAACTATAGCAAATGACTACAAGACGTGTTGGGAGCAGAGGCGACAAGATGAATCATCACCTTGTTTCCCCCATTGAATTGACCAGGATCAGGCCACCATCCTCTAGGCCACATATTTCTGAAACACCTTTTTACATACAAAGGTGTTTAGTTTTCTCTGGCTTCTACCAGATTACAGTTCCAGAGTCCACCAGTACTTTATCCAAGTGCCCATTCTTCACATTCAAGCCTAATCTAGCCAGCAAACTTGATATTAGACATGCTTCCTTTAAGCAGAATTAGCTGTATTCAGAACAAATGCATTTGACAGTCTCTGAGGATCATACAGTAAATAAAGCACTTACCAGTGGGCTGTTGATTCTCTTCACTTGCTGTAACACAAAACAAATACCAATAAACCCAGTCTATGATACTGTAATGGCAGCAGAACACTTGCAAATAATTGTAAAGTACAATTTCTTAAACTTACACTATTGTCACCATCAGCTCTCTTTATAGGTAGGTTGGAATATGGGTTTTCCTGCTCCTAAGGATAGGTTGCACAGAAAAGATTTGTTGCTTGTTATTGCTGAATAATTCACAATTGTATTTCTGTTGCATGGAAACAGTACACCTTAGGTTTTTTAGGATGATACCAGAACTGGGAGGTTATCTCTATCAAAATAGCCTGATTAGGTGAGGACTTTATTCACTAGAGAAGACATGTTTAAG